TTCTTTCCCTGCAATGATCACGTCTGCGGGTGGTTTTCTACATGCAAGTACATCTATTCTCCCACAAAGAAATGGAGATTCAATTTTCACCCTAGCTATTCTCAACTCACATTTCTTGCTTTCTAATTTATATGCTATTGTTTCCCCTGTGTAATCTTGCTCCTCTAATAAGGATTTTCTAATAATTGAAAAAAATGTGCCAGATGTTCTTATCACTGTACCTGGTTTGCCGTTTATGATACCCTTACTGCTTTCCCTGTGGGTTTCAGCGTTGTATGCTGCCATTAATCTTTCGTGTGGTATTGTCTCGTCATCTGACATCATTGTGTCATTGCTAGGCCATGATGTCATCTCGAAAGATGCCTTTGGCAAACACTCTTTGACCTTACTGGAGACATCTGCTACGCCAGCCCCACCAGTTGGTTCATCATTGGGAACTTTAGTGTTTGATGGACTTATCTTTTCACAAGGCTCTTCTAATTGGCCCTCTTGTACTTTGCTGCATTCATTTGCCACACCATCTGTATTGACCACTTTCTGTTTGGGGGGTTTATATACTCCAATTATCTTTGGTGGTTTATCTGCTTCTTCGTGATCAGAGGTGTTTTCTGTCACCACATTACTTTGTTCTTGGGTTCTGTTTTCAGTACGCGGACAGACAATTTGGATGCTACCAATTTTAATTTTATGTGGTGTCATATGCTTACCCTGCTGTAGCATACGATCACACAGTGTGCAATCACTTTTAGGATGTTCAGTAAACTCTGATGTTGTCTTAACTGCAGTTACTGTTTCGTCACCATATCCTCTGAGGTATTTTAAACCTGGGCATTGTGCTCGACAGTGCCCTTTAAATTGACACAAGAAACAGGTTTTCGCCCACTGTTTTGTTGATGCTTTTGTTAACAATAAGCCATTTATCTTGACTATCAATCTCTCAGGGTACTTAGGGTGTTTATCACACATCTTGGCTTTATTGTGCAGTAAATCACAGTATACACAGACAGAATCATCAGTATTATTTTCAGGAGTATTACTATTCTTATCATTCTGCTTTCTGTTCCTATGTTCCTTTAAATAGGCCCCATATAATGGGCTAGCATCACACATCTGAAATGCTCCATGGTGTTTCTTGCAGTAGGGACAAATTATTATCTTTCCCTTGTCTATTTTATGTTCATACTTTCTACTCTTACATTGATCCTCTGGTTGGTCACATGGATGGGGTGGTATATCTCTTTCAGATCTTCTCTTTTTCAAATTTTGATTTTTTCTCTTTATTATCTTTTGAACATGTTGTGCAAATTCAGGATTTTCATCACACCACTGCCATCTACCATGTTCCCTTTTACAGTGGACACATGTCACTAGTGGACCCTTTTCTATGTACCTTCTTGGCATATTGAACAGTGAAACCGTTGCAAGTCAACAATTAAACCAAAACAAAATAACGTATATAAATACGATCACGAACTACCCGCACTATACCTACTGGGAAGGGAGAAAATAATAATCGCGAATATCCGAACTACAACCGGACCTATAAATGTAATCTCGAATTAATCCGGGAACTAAACACAAATTTGCAGTGTAATATTCAATAAAGAATATCACAAATCAGATCATCACAGTAATACGACAACAATTTTTAAAGCAATTTGGATGTAGACAGTTCGAAAAATATTGGATCAGGAATCCGAAGAATACTTCTTACAATTGTAGATATGGAGAATGACTGATGTGTGTGCCGCAAAATTTTTTTTTTTCCAAAACACGAAAACAACAATAGGACTGATGAGAAAGGATAGCCAAGAACGATAGATAATGAACGGCGCCGATCAACCAACTAGATCGAGAAGGAATCTCACGGACTGGAGAACTGACCAGGACACAAACACCAAAATCAAAACAACAAAAACTTATCTGCACTCCAGTCTGGGAAACATGGCCGCCAAAGAACATGTGGATGTTGATGACACACTTGATGATGGCGAGGACGACAGGCCTCGATGACTTCTCGGACTAGCACACCGCAACTTAAAAAACAATCACACTATGTCTATCTGTCTATGTCGTCCTAAATCCCTATCCGTCGTCACGACACAATCCTAACACATACAGTTATTACCTCTAATCACATACAGTCATGTTAAACAACAAACATGTAGACGGACTACCAATAAATTCCCATTTTACCTATCAAAAATATTTACGGAAAAACAAATACCTAACCTTTCCTATCAGCTATTGACTAAGCACGTTGGGTTCACACAAAATCCACGGTAAGAGCGCCCCACTTTCCTGTCAGATTTAGGTTCAACTCCCAGGGACGAGCTCCCACTTTCCTGTCAGAAACCTTACTGTCTAGGGCTCGATTCCATTGGCTCTGCTATAGGCTAATGACAGGAAAACACCGTACAAACACACTCAAGCCAAACACTTGTTGCAACACACACACAATCTTTATTACCAAAGATGCAAACGAAGTGGTGGTACACCTCAGGAGGAGTAGCGCTCCTTATTCAAAACCCAGGCCACGTCTAACTTTAAAATCGCTTAGAGGCGCCTTTACACGTTCATGAATTAAGCTCTGAGCCGCTACCACTCTCCTGTACAGTGCCAGCTCAACCCGCTATATCTCGATGCCAAAGACGTTATGGCATACGCCAATGTGTAGGCCTAAGTGGATCGACAGTGTTAACGCCACCAGCAAAGCATGGTCTGATTAGAATCTAGTCCGGCACCTTTGTCTTCTCTCATCAGTGTTTGTCATATAGTTTCTTTTTGACCCGCTTTCTTCGTCAATCCATTTTTGTGTGTGTTTAAGTTCCTGTTCTCTATGTGTGTGTGTTTTTTTTAAATCCACATTATCTCAGAATATACCCAGTGTATGGATCTTCAGTTTTATATAGCTCCTATTATAGCTGTATTACCTGCTATAAGACAAGTTAGGAGCGTCACTCTAGGCCATAATTTTTGTATTTTGTTTAGGTCCATATTTCCGTTACACAGCGTATTTCTGTATTATCAACGACAAAGGGCAGGTCCACTCTTTTTTAACCAAAAAGAGGGCCTGGATTTATCTTGACTGAAATTACTGCTAGAAAAGTTAAGTCTGTCTGCATAGATATGAAGTACATTAAAAAATGTATTTCTTGATTATTACTTCCTTTGAGATTGATATCTCAGAATTTCAGAAGTAGTATAAACTGAAAGGTGTCAGTAGACAACAGAATAACAATGTTTTATGATATTATTTTAATTTGGTCACCCTGTATGCATTTTTGGTGTAATAATGAAGGCTTGAAACAGACAGACAAGAATGGCTGGATCTGTACCACATGGTGGTAAATTGATACATGACAAGGCAGATGTGGTCAAGGCTCTTTGGGAACAAGCAATGGAATCAGTAGAGAAAGAAGATTATTATGGCCTGAAGAGAATGAGGCACTGGGGTGTAACCAGAGGATCTGGCCGACTCACTAGACTCAGAGGAAAGGCAAGACGGACATTTAATCAGATTGGGACAGGTACCTTCAGTTGGAACTCTGTGCTGGCTGCTGAAGATGAGGATGGAGCACACATAGGAATGCCCAGAGTGCTGTGATGTCAATTCTTGACTTGGCTCAACTCAACTAGTGAAGACTTGGGAGTCACCGTGATGTAGCGGGTTAATGCTCGCCTGCGGGTCAGAAGGTTGTTGGTGGGACTTTTTTCGAAAAACATCTTGACTCCCAGGTTGATCAAGTCTTGAATGGGTACCAGGTATAGTCCTGAGAAGTAAAGGTGGCCAACATGATGCTGACAACATCATCGACCGAATGCTAATTGGTTTAGCCCTATAAGCCTAATTCGCATGAGGGTGTGGAAAGCGTCTTTTTTTGTGTACATTTTTTTTTTTCACTAATGAAGACTTGGAATATGCCTGCCTATGTCAATATTTTTTAATTTTCATTAAATTGAATTCCACAAGAAGAGAGATCAAAGGCAATCTGAAGAAGATCAAATCTAGAAGACTGAAAACAGAATTCTGACAAAAGCGGTGGAATAGAAATTGTTTTTGCCTTAAGTTAGAAAATTTGAGATGCATTGTCATGTGTCTTCTTCCACTTGAGAGTTCCGGAGTCTCATTGTGGGGAAAACAAGAACAGACCCACTGCCTCCCCAACAAGCATGTCGTATGAGTTGACTTATTGGGGACTTCCTTCGAAGTCAAGAGTGCATCTGCCTGAGCAGCAAGGAACAACCAGCTGCACACAAATAAGCCAGTATAATGGATGTACATACAAAACACAGGCCTTGGCACAAAGCCAAAGTCTAAATGGATGAACAGTCAGGACTTTCCACCAGAGCTTACAGCCAGTGAACAAAGAAGAAGAAGATGTGTGTTCTGAGACCCCTTTTTGAGGGATAAAAAAAATTAACCCACTAACAAGCTACTCATAAAAGGTGCCTAATTACAGCTGTGCTGAAATCATGTTTTGGAGGTCGAAATTTGTGATACAGCCTAGCTGCAAAACCCAGCATATTTAACAACAGCGTTTTTTAGGGTGAATAGAAAAAAAGAAACTAGAGACCCTAACCCAAACCCTAACTCTAACCCAAACCTAACCCAAACCCTAACTCTAACCCTAACCCAAACCCTAACCCAAACCGTAACCGTATGATTATAGCAGGGCAGTGCACGCTGTCTATCGCCAACACACAGTAATTGTGTCAATTGTTTCGTTCCCTCCTTTTCCACTCCGTAATTGCACTGCAGCCAAGGGACAAAACTCCAACTAACCGGCCGTCTACTGTTGTCTACCGGCCGTAGTTGACAGGAGAGCCCATAAAAACACCAGTGTCATTAAATTAACAAACCACAGGGATGATTAGAGAACCATTAACACTATTTTCTGCACAAGACCAGGCACCTATAGAAAAAGACATGTATAATAAGTATCCATAACAGTGTCACATATCATTACTTCTGAGTCACTAGCACATTCACTTTACAGGACAACACAGTACACACCGTATCAGGCAGAACTAGCCCAAGGTCGGCTGGAGAGCTTGCTCAACTACCAAACCATGATTGCTGATCTGACAGCCCTGCCAGTGTCAAATGCTTCACTTTTGGATGAAGGCACATCTGCTGCAGAAGCCATGTCATTGTGCCAAAGGTAAGCTTCACTTGTCTCTTTCATTGCGAGCCTTAATTCTTCTTCTTCAGCAGAAAGTTATAGCTATTCATCCAATTCTGGACTTTAGTCTTGTTCCAGAACCTGAGTTTTGCGAGCACATGGCTTTTACAGATCTGGCTTATTTGTATGCAAACATTCGTTGCCTCTCAGGCAGATGCAGTCTTGACTACGAAGAAAACTCCTAATACAAGTTTTAACTTTTAAAGAGTCATTGTTTAAGTTTGGAGCTGTGGTAATTTTGTGGCTAACTGCTCACCTATCATTCCCAATGATTTTGGGTTCTACTTTGCACCCACCGAGTGCTGACTGATCTTTTAAAAAACGAGTCTGGTGTCTTTGCACAACACACCACTGGCACAAAAATACCCCCCTCCCCCTTTTTATTTAGTCCTAAAATGTTTAAAAAGAAAAACACTACAAGCATATGGGTTCATCTGGGTCAGGGCTATTCAACTAAGTGTACTCAGGTGCCAAATGTTAAAAGATAAGAATGTCGCGGGCCAGAAGCACAAGTTGCGGGTTTGCCTCTCCACAATCTGCAATCTCCTGCAGCATGTATCAGTTTGTGTGCCGACACACCTCCATGCCATGCAACAAGACTGTCAAGAATCTTCTCTCGTCTTCTTCCTCTATCCCACCTTTCACAGATCTTTCCAGTGGTCACAACATGTTCTATTTTTCTTCTTCTTATGACATGGCCAAAAAATAATGACTGTGTCCTTCTGATGTCTGTGATTAGTTGTCTTCTGGCTCCCGCCTCTTTCAAAACCTCTTGGTTGCTCTTTTTGGCTGTCCAAGGTATTCTAAGCATTCTTCTGCTTAAGTACCACATGCATAAAATACAGACTGCACAGTGTGCATGTCAGAGGGGACCACAAACACCTCAGCACATTCTGCAGACCTGCCCACTCTACCTACAACTTCAAAAAGAAGCTGGCCTCAAGAGCAAAGTGTGCAGAGCAAGCTGTGGGGAACCATGAATGACCTGCAGCTGAAATGTGAGTTCATAGAGGCAACCCATCTGAGCATGCGAAACTGAATACAAAAAAGAAGGTGAGAGATCACCTCTGCCTTGTGCAGTTGCAGTACACCCAAATGAGGTGCCTGGTTATCCCCAAACATGCCTACATTGCCTGGGCAAAATCTATAAATAATGTGTAACTTAAAATTTGTACAATTAATATGTTACTTAAAATGTGTATAATTAATATGTAAATATTATGTCTCATGAAATCTGAAATGTTACTAGGCTTACAAAACTGTTTTATAATTATGTTTTGCAGACAGAATAAGAGGAAAAAGTTCTTTGTTGATGAGAAATGCCATCCTCAGACAATTCTGGTTGTCCAGACAAGAGCTGGGTAAATTAGTCTTTTTTAATTACGGTTTGGCTTTTGTATCCATTTACTTTGCAATAGATTTGTAACAAAGCATCATACTGTGTACCACAAATAATTTAGGAAAAACATATAAAGTAAATGTCATTGCTTTTACTTACCACATAACAGTTATTACATTTTTGATATGTTGCCATCTCTTTGCTCTTGCTAAGCATTGGTTTTGAGTTTGTCACAGATTCCTCTTCTTCTCTTCCTCCTCCTCCTGCTGCTGCCAGTAACCTCCATTATCTAAGTAATTAGCCTTCTCTTTCTAGTTGGTGACTCCAAGTGTTTATAGGTTTATCTGAATATTACCTCTCCACAATCTTCTTGGTCTACCTCATGGTATTTCTTATTCAGTTCCCTTGTGTACTGCTTGGTGTAAATCTATTTTAAAACAGAAAGTAGTTTCCAAAACAATGTTTTCCCGTAATCAATTTAAATAATGCAGACACAAGCAGTACATTGCACAATTTATTGCCAGGCATATTTCGCTGTTTCTCATCAGAAAGTAGTTTTACCAAAGAGAAGCCGTCTACCACACACTTCAAACCCTCCTCCCCTCCCTAACCCGAAGGACCAGGGTGTGTCTCTCTGTTCTCATCCCTTTGACCTGTCTATAGAGTTGGGAAGCCCTGCTGCTGCTAGCTATACTAATACCAGCATAGGTCAAGGTAATTGAGAAACTCAAGCTCTCCAACCTTGGCATGAGGGAGACACTTCTAGGGGAGATTTTGGTTCTTTATTAATATCTTACCCCAGATGACATCACAGGACAGTCCAGCATTTAAGAGGGTGGTAAGACTGGGTTTCCCGGCTTTCTAATGCTTTTAATGATCCCAAAACATCTAGAACCGGCCCTAACCCCAACCCACCTACGTCCCACGAGAGAGTGCAGCCTAGGTCCCACGACTGCATGCAGCCTATCTACCACCCCCTGAAATATTAGACTGTTTCGTGGCCTGTGGATTTCCCCTGTTTGGGGTAGGATATTAATATAGCACCAAGATGTTTAATTTTGATATAGAATTTGCCTGCTTATTTCAGACCACAAGATATAGAAGTAGTGATTGGTTCATGGAAGACAGTTGATCTCAGCAACAAGGACTATTGTGGTGCCTTAGTGCAGTACCCAGACACAGATGGAACAGTGCAGAACTTTTCATCCTTTGTGGATCAGGCTCATCAGTGTGGGGTGAGTACGGCACAGGAAGTACATCTACAGCAGCATACATTCTAATTAATGCTGTAGATATCTATTGACTGGAGATGGTTGTTGGAGGTGTGGAGTATGTTCTCTGTGTGGCAGTCCCGATGATAGACTTATTTATTAAGTGGCATGAGTGTCACAGAATCATCATCATCATGTGCTCTGCCAACTGGTGTAGGCGCTCTTGTATCTCCACAGATCATGATCCCTGGTTGACTGGAACAGCTCTCTTGATGACATCCCTCCATGCAATCGTTTCAGCCCATCCAGCATCATCCCTCTTGGTCTGCCTCCACCCCTTTTTCCACTGATCTTTCAAGTTGTCAAATTTTTCTCTAGTGCCTCTCTTCTCATTACATGGCCCAAGAACAGTGTTTGTCTCCTTCTTATTGTTGCATATAAAGATCATCCTTCATTAGCTTCTTTCAAACAATTGTTGTTAATTACTCTGGCTGTCCAAGTTAATCGTAATATTTGTCTCAGAAACCACATCTCTGTTGCTTCTAAATTCTTCTTAATTTCAAGATTCTCTGCCATACAGCAGAAAGGTTCTATGTAACATTCTAGCACTCTCTTTCTGAAATTGAATGAGAGTGATTTATTGCATAAGATAGTTTACATTTTCTGAAATGCAACTTTTGCTTTTAATATCTGTCACACATTTTCCATCTGATGAAATGATTGTTCCCAGATATTTAAATTTATTGACTTGGTTAAGTCTTTTTCCTTTAATTGAGATATCAGTCACAAAATAGGGTGACCATATGTCCCATTTTCACTGGGACAGTCACATTTTTTTGGGTGTGTCACAGAAGTCCCATCAGTATAAAAAAAAAATTATTTATAAAAAATAACAAATCACTTGTTCTGTTTTATAAAAATCTGATAATAAACTCAATAATAGAACATACACTTATGAAATGTGAAGTTTCATCTGCAAACCTTATTAGAGATTTCAATATAGTCATAGATACTTTTAATGCCTTAAATGTATTGATTAATAATGGGGAAAATATGACATCATAATTTATACTGCATTACTTATTATGAAAGCCACCAGTTAGGTTAACCTTCTGAGAACTGGTGAGGTATAGTTTTATATATATTATTGGGAAGACTTATTTCTACACCTCCCTGGAGAAAATTTAGTTGCAAAAAATCCTGGCTCTGAACTAGTCAAAAGATAAGGAAGGAGTAAAGAATAACTTGGCCAGCCAAAATATGACAAATATAGCAAATTTCCTGTTTGTTTTGTTGTTCATCCATTACGAGTGATAAAGACCACTTTCATCCAAAGTAGTAATGATCAATGATTATGAGTACAAAGGTGGCTGATTTGTCCAATATGAGCCTGGAAAGTTCTTGAGCAGTGCCGACAACAGATGGAAGCCACAGTAAGTGTGGGATTAACAGTACAATTCTTTCTAGTCTGCCTCCGTTTCTCTGCCTGTGCAACCTCTCCTGCCTGGCTGGCCGATGCACCATGCCTGAAGAACGTAAGCCATCCAGAACCGTCTTGCGCTGCAGCTTCTCACGTCACTGTGTTGATGCCAAAAGAATTGAGAGCAGTCTTGAGAGGGTCGTTATAGCGCTTTTTCTGTCCTCCCTGGAACCTCTTCCCTTGCTGGAACCATAAAATACTCTCTTTGGGAGGCACTGTTTGTGTAGTAGGCTCTTAAAGGAATACTCAGATATTCTTTTCTTACCGTGCAGACTCTAGTAGTTGCAGCCACTGATCTTTTGGCCACCACTCTGATGAAGCCTCCTGGTGACCTTGACTTTGATATTGCTGTTGGAACCAATCAGAGATTTGGTATTCCCATGGGATATGGAGGTCCGCATGCTGGATTTTTTGCCTGCAAGCAAAAATTTATGAGAATGTTGCCAGGGAGAGTCGTGGGTATAACAAGGCAAGTTTGTATGTTCTTTAATATTTATTATTTCTTTTGTGATTGGCACTTGTAAAATCTGTTTGTCTAACCATATGTAGACTTTATGTTAAAATTGCATTGTAAACATAAATATATTATTTTTTCATTTCTTGATGTAATGCCTAATCTATGTGCATGAAAGTCATTTCACTTTGTCAAGTCAGCTTTTTTTTATTTTTTATTTTTCATTTACATTTGAAAACCAGTGATAATATACAAGAAACAAAAACTGTGATATTTAACAATGGAAAGGAGTTGTCAACATTGAACATCACGGCTGAGAAATTAGAACAAGTTTCAAGTTTTTTCTATCTTGGACATATAACAACAAGTTATGGTAGAAGTGTAATAGTAGTCAAAAAGAGAATAGGAATAGCCAGGAATATTTTCCATAGCATGCAACATGAATGATAACTAAAAGGACGAACACATAAAGGATAGGTTAAGCCATCTTTATTCTTCTTCTTTTGTCAAAATCTGCTTGTGCCGCTAGGCGTCGCAGTCTATCAGATGATCGGCAACCGAGCCAGGGCGCGCTCAATCGCTTCATATGCCGTGATGTTATGAAGTCTCAAGTTGTCCGTGACTCCTTCAATCCATCTTCTTCTTGGTCTTCCCCTGCCTCTTGTTGTTTCGATTTTCATGTTGTATGCTCTTGATGCTGGCATCGTTGGTTCCATTCTCATTAGGTGACCAAACCATTTCATTCTTTGCTTCTCAATAAATTTAACGATGGGTATGGTTCCAATAGTTCTTGTAATCACATCGTTTCTCACTCGATCTCTTCTGGTTTTATTCGCAGCCATTCTCAAACATCTCATTTCACAGGTGGTTAGTCTTCTCTCATGTTCTTTTGTTAATGTCCAAGTCTGACATTGATAACCTAATGTCGGTATAAAGATTGTATTTATAATTTGTCTTTTTATCTCAGCTGGGACAGCAGGGTGTTTTAAAATTGGGGCAAGCTGGTATGCGACATTGTTGGCTTGTTGGATTCTTGCTTCAATCTCTCTGTCTATTTTACCATTGGATGTAAAGATACTTCCCAGGTATTTAAATTCTTGCACTTGTTTTAGGCTGTGATCTAGAATCTTTATGTCGATGGTCTGTTGCTCTCTACTTATGCTCATGACTTCTGTCTTTTCAGTATTGATCTTCATATGATGCTTGAGGCAACTGTCATGTAGTAGGTTCATGTGGTCTTGCAGCTGTTTACTATCACTGTGAAATATGCATTGATCGTCGGCAAAGAGCAGCTCATTGAAGTCCTCCTGTTTATCGACATCTGTTGGTGTTATGTCTATTTTATTAATATTGTCCATAAATATTAGTTTATGAAATATCTTGGTCAATAATGAGTAAAAAGTTTGTTTGCTTTTTTCCCCCCGCATAAAATGTGACATTTTCAATCAATTTCCCTGAAAATATGTTGATTTTAGCCACCAAATTAATTTTCCATCAATCTTTAACAAGTATGTACCTACAGAAAGCATTGTTTCTAGCAGATATAATCAAATTCAATTTGGGGGTTTAACCTGTTCTTAAAAAGTGAGGAATGTCAAATGTTGTTATACCTTACTCTTCTGTATGGTGCTGAGACCTGGACAAGGAACAAGCAGTTGGAACGGTATTGAGTTTGAAGATGTGGATAAAAAGAATAATAGGTCAAATTTCATGAAAGCAAAAGTAGTCAAATACTGAGGTTTTTAAGTGAATAGGATTGAAAACAGAGCTGATAAGTGAAATAAAACAGACAAGTGAAATCTTTCTTCCATTTTAAAAGACAAACACTCTTATAAAACCCATAATTTAGGGAAAGGTTGAAGTCAGGCAAGCAAATGGTAGACAGCAATACAAAAAGAAAAAAAAAGTAAAGGACTGTTTTCCAGGCCTATAGGCGTATAGGGCATATAGGGCTAGACCTATATTTTTATAGACCAATCGGCACAAGATGGGTGATGTGGTCAGCGTCACGCTGGCCTCTTTTACTTCCCGGGACTGCACCCGGTACCCACTCAAGGCTGGGTCGACCTGAGAGCCAAGGTCATTTTTGAAAAAGTCCGGCTCTGCCAGGGAGCGAACCCACGACCTTCTGATCCGCGGCGAGCGTCTAGCCGCTCTGCCACGGCAACTCCCAGACAGCAAGTTGGAGGATAAAATGGAGAGATGAACAGCAATCTAAAAAGAGTGTACATCCAGAGAGAAAGACAGAGCATGCTGGAGATCCATTGCAGCCAACCTTCGTTGTGATGATGGCACTGACTGACTTTCTATTTAGTGTATCTTTTTAATAAATTATATTATTTAACATGTGTACATGTTTCTTTATTTTACCATCTTGATGTAACTACTTGGAATTGATATATATATATATATATATATATATATAATTGATATATGAAGTGCAGAACAGAAATGCACAGCAATAGGCCTTTGATTTGTGGTACAGAACAATGTATCATGTTTCGTGAAAAAGGAACTAAACAAATATAGATGTCCTAGATCTCCGTGTGGGTTCTAGGGCTTCATTGTGGGGGAAAACAAGAATAGACCCACTGCCTGCATGTCGTAAAAGTCGACTAATCGGGATCTTCCTTCAAAGTTGGAGTACATCTGCCTGAGGGGCAGGGAACCAAAAGTCTGTATGTAAATTAGTCAGATCTGTAAAACAGATGTACACGCAAAACTCAGGTTCTGGAACAGGACTGGAGTCCAGAAGTGGATGAACAACCAAAACTTTCAGGCAGAGTTTGCAGCCGGTGAACGTGAAGAAGAAGAAGAAGAAGAAGAAGAAGAAGAAGAAGAAGAAGAAGAAGAAGAAGAAGAAGAAGAAGAAGAAGAAGAAGAAGAAGAAGAAGAAGAAGAAGAGATATCCTAGAGAAGCCCGAAATGAAAGGACTTAGTGAAGAATTCAGAAAGAATTAAGCCAGATATTTCGCCACTTCTATAGCCACTATGATCTTATAAAAAATTGTACTGGAGGGAAAAGACAGTGTAGAGGGTTGCGACCAGCCAGGTCACCCTAGGTGCTTCAGCAGACATGCTGACCTGTAACTCTTGTTGCCTTCTCTGCACCATTGAACAGTGACTTTGTTCCACTCTTAGATGTCAGCTAAGACAAACTGTAAATGTTAATGTCAGTCAAAACATCATTTGCAGATGTTTACATGAATTTTGACTGGCTGCTCAGTGTCCTGAAGTCATAATTGCTCTTACACCTGCTCGTCGCAGAGGTCATGTCATGAGCATATCAGTTGGACAACGCAACACTGGAATCGGGTCCTCTTCACTGATAATCTCAATTTACCGCATCATTAAACGACGGCAGGTTTCGAGTTTAGAGACGACCATCAGAGTGATTTTCTGATGACACAATGCGGCAGGTGGATCATTATGGTAGGTTTCTGTCATGGTCTGGGGGGGGGTTTCTACAGACATAGCCGGACCCTATTCTACATCACCCAAGGCAACTTGACCAGCCCAAGATACCAGAACATAATCTTTAGACTAGATGTTCAGCCTGCTCTGGAAGCCATAGGTGATAAATGCCATCCTCCAAGATAATGCTTGACTCCATCAAGCTCGGGTGTGAATTACATTATTATTCCGCACCATGGGATCATCAAGATGGCATGACCAGATCATTAACATGACCTTTCTCTAACTCAACACCTCTGGGATGCCCTTGGTCGAAGTTTGTCAACAGATCACCCCCTGCCAATGGTTGTTGCACAGCTGACTGCATTTGTGCTTCAGAAATGGCAAGCTGTTCCTCAGGATACTGTTCGGACCCTTGTGGATTCAGTGCATCTATACTGTCTTGAATGTCTTGCTGCAAATGGTTGTCATCCTTGATTTTGAAATATCTAGTTGTCCAGCATCTGTTGTGTGACTTTTGAAAAGGTTGTGGCATACTTCACAGCTTTGTTGCATTTGAATTTCTTTACGGGATTTTATTTTGCTTCCCTCAAGAGCCCTGGTAACATAGCAGTAGATTTTGTTTGCTGTATTGAAAAATATACGTGTTTTCTGATTTGCTTAGAGATTCTGCTGGACGGCGAGCATTAAGACTTGCACTGCAAACAAGAGAACAACACATTAGACGAGATAAGGCAACCAGTAACATATGTACAGCTCAGGTATGATTTGTTGGGGTTGGGGGGGGGGGGGGGGGGGGTGTCATCTTTGGAATCGATGGGTCAAACTATAGATCAGAAGATCAGAAGGTGTCCCATAGATTTTCATACATAGAAAAAATACGTTTTTTTTTTAAAGAAAACCATATTTAATTATACAATATATTGTATGTGACTACCCTTATTTTGACCAAGCATTTCAGTGCATGTCCTCCACTAATGAAGCATCTATAAGCACAGATAGAGCTGTGCTTGCAAAGGAATGGCCTTGGGATATGTTTATTTTTCCTTTGTAGGAAAACCAATGGGACACCCATTGCAAATAGCAACATGTTTTTAGTCCTACATTAATTAAACAATGAATAATACTGAAAACAGAAGTGACTGCAGTGGAGCTGATATCCAGAGGTAACATAAAACAACACAGTGACTAGAAAACACAGCTGAACGCTTTGACCACAGTCTGCAACTAGGAAGATTTGTGAATAAATTTCCAAAGAAAATAATTATGTGATGATCATGATTCAGGCAAGCAGTCTTGTGAAAAATAACCAAGACACCTTGAAAACCTCAGTGAAGACTGGATGTGACCTAAAATATGGAAAGCATTGCTGCTGACTGCTGTGCTAAGTAAATTTCTGTGGGTACAGCAGCTTGACAGTAGTTTAGAATAAGAGAAAGTACATGGAGTTCTGAAATATGAAAACAAAATTGGGAGTTACCGCTGTCTGATTGACAACCAGTACTCCTCTGCTGACATTTTTACCGCCCCTGATTGGCCTAATCTCCAAACCCATTTTAGGATGGACATCAGTTTGATCTTTGTCAAAAATGATGTATTAATAACAAATATGTGTCTGTGTGTGTGTGTGTGTGCTTGCATGCGCACACACGCGTGTGTGGATAGATACTATTTATTAACAGTTTATAAAATCTTTCTCTATTTCAAGAATTAAATGAAGGGGGCTGTATGGTCTCAAGGCATGGTGTCCGCCTTGAGTGCTAGAGGTTCCGGGTTCAGTTCCCGGTAAGGGCTGGGATTTGTTCACGTGGACCGTTGGCAGTTGGAAATCAAAAAGAGTAACTGCGCAGCCCGGGCAAAATTTGGAGTTAAAATTTACCCAAAGTATTTCAGGATCCTTGCTGGTGCTTCAGAGCCTGTGCACTGTGCTGAGCTTCTTCGGACTCAGACTTGAGTTAGAAGAAGAACAGAGCACTTATGGGTTACTACCCGTGTGCCATGATGTTGATCTGTTGTTCAGACCTTTAAACTTCAAGAATTAAATGCTGTTTGCAACCGATATGTTGACCACCATTACTTATAAAGGTTTAACATGGTAACACTGACTTTAAACATTTTTTTTAAAAAACAGGCTTTGCTGGCCAACATGTCTGCCATGTATGCTGTTTATCATGGCCCAAAAGGCTTAAAGCACATTGCCAGGAAGGTGCATCATAGTGCTATAATACTTGCTGAAGGTAAAGTAGCCATTACGCAGATCTTTCCAAACTCTTTATGTTAGCGATACATTTTTTTAGTTTTTTTTTAATAAACATAATTTTGGTTTACAGTGGTACCTCGACTTACAAACCACTCAAGCTACAATTCTTTTGAGATACAAACTTTTTTCATTTCCAGTTTTCACCTCCATAGAACGGCAATCAAAACCCACTGTTGGCTGCGTGGGTTTTTGTTAAAATGTGGGGCGTCGCAGGTCGACCCAGTCTAAAATGGGTACCAGAATGTATGTCCTGTAATGCTGACCACATTACCCACCTAGTGCCGATCGGTCTTTAAAAAATATGGGTGCTATTTCCATATGCCTGATGTGCCTAAAGGATCTTACTTTCTTACTTATGAACCTAGATTCAAGATATGAACTCTGATGCACTGTGCATGCAGGTATGTTTGGAGTTACTATGGCACATTTTTCTGAAATATGATGCAACGAGTGCATGTGTGATGCAGTATGCTGCACGTACATGTTTGGAAAAGTAACAACAGAGCTTGGGTTACCAGCCAGTGCTTCAGAGTCGGTGTATGACATGCTCCACCATGAAATTTTCTCTACAAGAAAAGTGTCTCCCTGAGCAAGTTTAATATTTTTTTTAAGTGAGAGTTCTTTTTCTATAATCTGAAATTATTTTTTTTTAAAATCTAAGAACAGTTTAATTGATTTCTTGTAAGATAAAATAGGAAAATGGGTTTTGCAATATAAACTCTTTGAGATATAAACTACAGTTAGGTATTAATTTTGTATGCAGTGGTACCACTGTATTAGCAAGTTTAGTATTTATTTTAGGTGAGAGTAGTTCTTTTTACTTATAATCTGAAATTATTTTTTTAAATCTAAGAACAGATTAATTAATTTCCTGTAAGGTAAAATGGGTTTTGAGATATAAACTCTTTGAGAAAGAAACTACAGTTAGGTATTAATTTCGTATGCGGTGGTACCACTGCATTAGCAAACCAGAGTTTAAACTAACCCCCTTTTCCTTATAAGAAATATGGACGTATTTGTGCTTTATGTTCTGAATGTGTCTTCACACTGCAGCGGACACAAAAATGTGTCACAACACACAGTTTGGAAAACTCTGTTTTTAGGCTAGATAAAGATTTCTACATTAATTACTGTATTTTGATAATTTTACAACTTATTTTATACTTACTTATAGTTTACAATACAATATTAATCCAACAGAGAATCAGAATGCTTTTGTTTTAAGTGTAATTTTTAATGATAAAAATTTGTAGAAATTTACATAAAATATACTAGTGTATCATTGATTGTTATCCAAATTAGTACTAGATTACTGTGTATCAAGAACAAATACACATACAGTTCAGGGATTTATAGCCCTATCTTAGTCGAGCATCAGCTCTTTGTCCTCCTCCTCTCTCATCTACCACTGATCTTTTCAGTTTTTCCAATGTTCTCGAGTATCTCTCCTTTCATAACATGAACAAAGACAACTGTTACTATCTTTTAAGTGTAGAGTAGAAAAGTGAAGGATCCATTTCCACACCTTCAGTCATACAGGGTTAAATCTGTATTTTATAGACCAATCGGCACTTAGTGGGCAATGTGGTCAGCATCGTGCCAGCCACCTTTACTTCACAGGACTTCACCTGGCACCCATTTTAGGCTGGGTCCACCTGGGAGTCAAAGTCATTTCTGAAAAAAGTTCAGTTCCTTATAAGTGCATACAGGGCCCTAACTAGGCTTTGTGCACAGAGCAGAACAATTTAGGGTGGCAAAATATACGGATTAGTATTAACATGTTTATTGTTTTATTGCTTTTGTCATGAGAAACAAACTTTATATTCACCTTCTGGCATTAAAACAATTTGGCAAAAGTGATGCTAAAATTTAGTGGAGGAAAGGGGGAACACAATAAATGACTGCACAGAAGTGTCAAACATCCTAAATATGGCCCTGGTTGCATATACTGCAATATTTTACTCTCTGTAGTCTTTTCAAGCAATATACCTTTCTTATATATTGCTTTCTCATCTTCAGGAATCAGAAAAAGTGGACACACAGTTACATCTTCAGCATATTTTGACACAGTCAAGTTTCAGCCAAAGGGTGGTCAGGAAGACATTAAACAGCGAGCAGAAAAGAAGAAAATAAATTTGCGTTACTACCCAGATGGACAAGTAAGTTTTCAATAGTTAAATGTGACTGGAATCTACTTCTTCTTCTTCTTGGTGTTCACCAGCTGTAAACGCTGGTGGAAAGTTCTAGATGTTCATCCACTTCTGGCTTTTGGTTCAGGACATGAATGTTGTAAGCCATAATGTATTACAGATCTGACTTATTTGTATGCTGGCTATTGATTGCTCTTCTCTCAGGCAGTTGCACACTGACTTTAGAGGAAAGCTATAATTAGTCCATTTGCTGCAATATGCTTTTTTGGGGTGGGGATGGGATCAAACTTTTTAGGCATTGCACCCCCCTTCCCCAACTCCCTGTCTCCATGGCATCTATATCTGCACATTTACTTGTGTGTGCCAGTGTGAGCCAGGAGAGTTTTTCCAGCTAGATGTACAGAGGTTGCTTGCCCAAGTTGTCATCATAAAGTATCAGTTCAGTACCTAGTAGTGGTAAGGTTAAATTTTTATTATTTTTTTTAACCCATTAAATTGTATTAATAGTTGCCAGTTACCAGCAGACTTAGAAACAAATTGTGGTCTCAAAAATAAAGGCAATATTTTTTTTTAAAGACATTGGACTTAATTTTGTGTTTTTTTGGGAAGTAGGCTGATTTAGTTTACTTTAAAAGGTAATAATTATTAGGCAAACAAAATAACAACTTGACTAGCTAATTGATATAAATATATTTACTTTTGTGTGTGAAAAACTAGTTGGGCAAACAATGAAAACTGAACTAAACATAGAAAGAAAGAAAAAAGAAATGCAGTTATTAAATACCGCTTTTATGTTCAAATGTACAAAAATTGATTTTTAAAATTTGGTGATGTGAAAGTCTGTATACTTGAAAACGATGGATGATCCTGATGCACACAAAAAAAAACCTGTCAGTTTATTGATTTAACTCTAAGGTATTCTTGATAACCTATGGATGCGAGAGCTGGAAATCAACGAAAACTCTAGACACAAAATTATACAGTTTTGAAAATAAATGCCTTAGAAGAATACTAAATTTCAAATGGTCAGATTTCCGAACCAATACACAAATAAGACAAGAATCCAGGCAAGAGTATGTGTCTAATTTTATACGAAAACGCCGCTGGAACTATGTCGGCCACGCCCTTAGAATGGATAAATCAAGACTTCCTTACCAAGCCCTCATTTGGACACCACAGGGGAAAAGATCTCGTGGAAGACCAAGGGAAACCCTACGTAGAACTATCATCAGGGAAGGCTCGCTCATGGGCCACTCAAACATCCAAGACCTACAACGGATTGCAACGGACCGCCGTGCATGGAGAGTCATGACCTCTGCCCTATGTGCCGCACTCGACACAAGAGGAAAGACTAACTAACTAACTAACTTTTCTTGATACACTTTGAACAACTTCCCTCATTATATTACACAGATTTTGAATGTCAGAATTATGATAGAATCATGTTTCTTTCAGTAGATATTTGTTCCTTGATTTTTTTTTAACAGAATGCACCATTGAATAACTATGCATTATTTATAATTTTTTGCTATTGTTGTTGTTGGACAGTATAATTATACATAGTCTGTATAATCCGGTATAAACAAGCACAGAGGGCTTGGCAAAATGTGGTTAAGGGGATATGCCTCGTTGGGAGTTAACAGGCAGCAGAAGAAGATGATGATTAACATATTTTCTACTGAGATATTATAATAGCAGATGGTGTTAACTGAAACGAAATGAAAATTCTTATAGCTAGTTATTTCAGAAGAGGGAATGAGGATGGGTAAGATGCAAGTATTTCCAGTAATTGCGACTGTTTGTTTTATATTTATTAAAACAAAGAAAACTCAAACAGTATATTGCTAAATTTATGTCTGGTATATTTTCCCGTATCGAGTCAGGAGCATGCTACAGTAATAGTTAAATTTAAAGATGGAAATAATTTATTTTCTTTATTGCATTAAATTGTTACAATAGTATTTATCTAACAGGATACTGTGAAATATAAGAAGAAAAAAGTGAAGAACCCTTTTCCACACCTTCAGGCGTAATGGGTATCTAGGGCTAGACCTATATTTTATAGACCAGTGGGCACACTATGGGTGATATGGTCAACATCATGCTAGCTGCCTTTACTTCCCAGGACTTTTACTGGTACCCATTGAAGGGTAGGTCCTTTTTTTTTTTTAAAGTTCTGCTCTGTATGGATTGAACCCTTGACCTTCAGATCTGCAGGCAAGTGTTGAGTCACTGCATCGTGGTGGCTCACCACAGTGAAATATACCAAGCAGTAAATTATGCATTCTTTTGTTTATGTCTTCTTCATTCAAATTTACAAACGGGAAAACAGAGCTTTGATTTTATTGATTCATTTATGAGAACAGTGATCAGATTCCACATGCCTGATTGCACATCTGTACCCATCTTGTTCTTAGGCTGACTTGGCTCAAGAAATTGGGGAGCAACCTGCTGCAAGTCTGGAAAATGGAGAGTTTGCACGGACCAGTAGCTTTCTCACACATCCAGTATTTAACAGGTATTATTTCAGGGAATTATTTATTTTTTTAAAAGTTGTGATAGTGTTGTTTATAGCTTAATCTTCTTCTTATACTGTCGTTTATCCACAAGTGGAGCATAGACCCTCAATCAACTCAGGCAAATCTTTGTAACCTTTGCTATCCTTTGCAGCTCACCCCTTGTCCTCCCCATATGTTTATACTTCACTCTCTAGTTCTCCTTGAGCGTTTTGGTCGGCTTTTATTCCTTTGACATGTGGATTCCAGCGCAAAGACATTCTTGCTGATTTACATCCTGTAAAACATTGTAATTATATTTCTTCTTCGCAGTTCATAGGGTTCTAATATGTCTGAATAATAATGAGTTTAAATAAATGAGAATGTTGATTGAGTTATTTGAATCTCTACAAGACTGAAATAGTCACACAGGGCTGCCTCCGGTCTCCAACACTGTTTAACATCTTCTTAACATCATGGAACAGTCAGTATAGGAGGACAAATTATGACATCAAGGAAGAACAAGAGCTAGTCAAACTTGTAAACCTGCTTGATGAAACATTGACCAAGTACGGCATGGAAATAAACATGCAGAATACTAAATTAATGACTAATAATCCAGCTGGCATAACTACACCAATGTACGTCAGTCATTAAATATATTTAGGACCTGGCTCGCTAGCTAAGTTAGTTAAACCTGACTGTGCGGCAACCGGATAACAAACACCTTGTGGTCCGGGTTCACATCTGGGGGTGGACAGAAAAGCCAAATTTCTCCCAGATTTACAGCATCTATCATGGAATCAAGACCAAAAGGTTGTGATATCCATAGTACCGAGCCAAAGGGTTAACAACTCATGGTTTATGGATATTTTAAAAAAAAATATTTAGGCTTCATTTGAGTGACCTAGGATCCAGACCAAAAGGTTAATTAAACTTTTTCAGGACCTAGTAAATGTGAAAGCCTAAAACCACACACCTGTGACTGCCAAGGATTTCCTAAATTTTTTTTTTTTTTAAGATAACACTATATTGTCATGAACACAGAAAGAGGAAGTCTTGTACACAATCTCTACTGTTATGACTAAAACATAAAACTTCTTCATGTTAACTTTCAGCTACCAATCTGAAACAAGAATTGTTCGGTACATGAAACTCTTGGAAAACAAAGACTTATCCTTGGCTCAGGCCATGATTCCCTTAGGGTCCTGCACAATGAAGCTCAACAGTACAACTGAAATGATGGTCAGTTTTTGTTTTCTGCTTTTGTCAGATGTTTTATTGATCTTCATGTAAAGGCTAAATTATTTTTATTTTTTGTGCATGTTCTTTCTAAAATAGTCTTCACAAAGAACAATTTAGTAACAGCAAATTATAAAAAAGTATGTCATGGAAGTACTGTCATGTTATTTTTTAGTTCAGAACTCAACACTTGATGAAAAAGTATAGTGTACACTTTGAATTATATTTGGCATGTGGTGCTAGCCTCATATATTTGTAGGCTAATCTGCACTCAGAAAGAGACAGTCATCATTAATTGGTCATGTTATGAGAAGAAGGAAAATGGAACATGTTGTGACCACTGGAAAGATTTGTGGAAAGAGAGACAGAGGAAGACAGATTGAGAAGACTCTTGACAGCCTTTTGTCATGGAAAAAGAAACAGAGGAAGACAGTTCTGGAAGATTCTTGAGAGCCTTTTGTTATGGCAGAGAAGGGTGTCAGCACACGAACTGATACATGCAGTTGTGGAGAGGCATTATCACCCACGCCAGCTGGCAAGGCACTTGATGTTAGTGAATCTGCACTCTGTGGGTGATGTAGTCTTGTCATGCTGAATACTTTTACTTCTCATTACACTTCTTTGGTACTTGTTTTAGGCTTAGCTTACCTGAGAGCAGAGGTAAATTTTAACATTTTGTTCCCAATCGTGATAAAAAGCTTTGGTTTTTAAAAAAAAGTGAACATTCTCTGTGTCAGTGCATCCACACACCCGCCTACTCCACTTCAAACACCCATCCACTCCACTCTGCTCACACATGAACACACACACAAATAACCACACACACAGAAAAGACTTAAATAAAAAATACATAAAGAACATCTTTCGAGTTGAATTGTTGAGAAAAGTTGTCAAGTTGAGTTGTTCAGATGAATTGTTGAGTTGAGTTATGTTAAGTCAACTTGAGTTGTTGCCTTGAGATGAGTTGTTGAGTTTCTAGAGCCAACATCACAGCACTCTTGACATTCCCATAAGCCCTCTGTCTCCATCTTCAGTTGCCAGTGCAGATTTACAGTTATGATGGGACCAGTAACATTTTGATGATATGTCTATCTTGCCTTTCCCCTGAGTGTTGTCATCCCTCACCACTCCCTGTTGCACCATGAGAACATCTTATTTAATGATGTGATACTAACAAGAAAGATAAGACAGTAACAAATGAACAATAGTTGGCCAAGTTTTATCAAGTCTGGTTACATATTTGAGCCCACATGTATAGATAGTGAGCGAAAGACACAGAGCAAATATGAAACTGACCGATTCAGTTAAATATTATTAAGGCAGACAGTTTTCTGATTAAAACTGGCGTTATGACTAATGTAGATAGGATAAGTTTTTTCCTTGAAGTTAGATCACATCTGCCTAAGAGACAAGGAACCATCAGTCTGCATACATATCTGTAAAATGGGGGTTTATGCAGCAGTCTTCTTCTTCTTCTTCTTCTTCTTCTTCTTCTTCTTCTTCTTCTTCTTCTTCTTCTTCTTCTTCTTCTTCTTCTTCTTCTTCTTCTTCTTCTTCTTCTTCTTCTTCTTCTTCTTCTTCTTCTTCTTCTTCTTTCTTCTTCTTCTTCTTCTTCTTCTTCTTCTTCTTCTTCTTCTTCTTTCTTCTTCTTCTTCTTCTTCTTCTTTTCTTCTTCTTCTTCTTCTTCTTCTTCTTCTTCTTCTTCTTCTTCTTCTTCTTCTTCTTCTTCTTCTTCTTCTTCTTCTTCTTCTTCTTCTTCTTCAATCCTTCTATCAAAAAAAAATATCAGAAGGCCAGTAGCTTTCATTAAAGCAATTTTGCAGTCCAAATCTCCTTATGTACCATACCACTTTGTCTTGATTGAGGTTAGAACTGGCCAGATGGCTCATCCGTAAGTAGTATACCGTTGGCATGGTAGCAGTACCTGCTCAGCATTTTCAGTTGCCAAATTGCAAGGACACATTTCTGTAATAGCCCCCGTCCCCACACCCATTCCCCGCTCCAGAAATTGAAAATATACTTGCAAAGTCTGTAGTGCCCAGCTCTTAGACTGAAAATGTTACAATGTCCCTCTCTAGAAAAGATGTGACCACAACACTCAAGTCCTAGAACAAGTTCAGATACAGACGAACAACTTCAACATTCTGCCAATGTTAACTATTTGAGTCCCAGGGGATTTAGCATCAGAGGCCCAAGAAGTATTCAAGAGAAACATAAAATCAGCACATCTTGCATTCACTGGGCTTCTAGGTAGAAACCTATGAACATATGATGCGTTCCTTGGGACTGAAAAAGTTGAGAGCCAGCGAACGATGAAGAAGAAGATTAGAAACCCACCCATGAGTAATTTATCTCTTTTAGCAGCAAATCAGAGAAGTGTTTATTTATTTATCTCTTTTAGCAGCAAATCAGAGAAGTGTTTATTTATTTATCTCTTTTAGCAGCAAATCAGAGAAGTGTTTATTTATTTATCTCTTTTAGCAGCAAATCAGAGAAGTGTTTATTTATTTATCTCTTTTAGCAGCAAATCAGAGAAGTGTTTATTTATTTATCTCTTTTAGCAGCAAATCAGAGAAGTGTTTATTTTATTTATCTCTTTTAGCAGCAAATCAGAGAAGTGTTTATTTATTTATCTCTTTTAGCAGCAAATCAGAGAAGTGTTTATTTAATTATCTCTTTTAGCAGCAAATCAGAGAAGTGTTTATTTATTTATCTCTTTTAGCAGCAAATCAGAGAAGTGTTTATTTATTTATCTCTTTTAGCAGCAAATCAGAGAAGTGTTTATTTATCTCTTTTAGCAGCAAATCAGAGAAGTGTTTATTTAATTATCTCTTTTAGCAGCAAATCAGAGAAGTGTTTATTTGTTTATCTCTTTTAGCAGCAAATCAGAGAAGTGTTTATTTAACAGCAGAAAAGATTATTGTAACGTTTTTAATAAATACATTTTTTAAAACATTTTTTGTAGGCATGCTCATGGCCAGAATTTGCATCACTGCATCCATTTATTCCAAATGAACAAGCTGCTGGCTATCACAGGATGCTGGAAGAGCTAGAGAAAGATCTCTGTGAGATCACAGGCTATGATCGTATTTCCTTCCAGCCGAACAGGTAGATCCTGAAACTTGTTTTACTTTTGTGCTGTAGATGTCATGGTAAAACAATTAAGTCAGATCCGCAAAAATATGTACAGATCCTATTTTTATAAAAATTCTCACTTTTACCTTATTTATACATCTGTATATTAAAACTTAATATCCTATTCAAGATGTCACAAGCTGCTTGCTAATTGTACCCCACCAGGACATCACACAAGCGATAAACACCCGGTGACACAAAGTGCCTCCATGCAGATGAGGATCACTGGAGAGAGTTCAGAAACCCTTTTCAGCTGTTATGGCCACAATTGTGGCCCAGCTATATTTAGGGCCCCCCAGCAAAAGCCAGGGTGGGGCTTCAAACAACAAAAAATTGCATCCCACAAGGGGATGTAAGGGAAAGTTGAGTCACAAGCTAACCAACCCCAGCATTTATTAGTTAGTTGTCTGTGGTATTGCTAGACAATTTTGTGGTTTGGTGATTTTGGACACGGGTGTGAGGCAAAGTTAAGTCCGTTGTGTTGTGTATAAGGAGATACTCCATGCCTCACCTCAGGGGCCAGAAGGCTCTGTGCTGGTTTTACAGAACCTCATGCAAGACACTTGCTGCACATCCTCGTCGTGTGCCATGGATAATGTCTCAAATGATAATTGGAAGAGCTGGCAGGGGATCTCTGAGCTGGTGGCCCCCAGAGATGTAGTGTCCAATCCGACTCTCATCAGCCCATCCCCAATGCCTGGGTGAAAACGTCTATCAGAACTCATCTGGAACATGAGTAAAGTCATCTTGCGTAATGTACCACTAAATGACAACTCTTGGTTAAAAGCCTGTTGAGCGAAAGAAAAAGAACTGCTGAGACCAAGAGATTTGCCTGCAGCTTAGACGAACAACAACTTCTGTGGGCGGTTTCTCGTCGTAAAATCCTGTCTTGATGTATCCTCTGTCAACTCTCAATGTCTTCATCGCTATTTTAAGGTACACCCCGACAGCCACTGTTAATCTGCTGATTAGGCTCAAATGTCCAACAAATAGCCATCCTATGGCACACCAGCAAAGTGTCAATGTCCGATCATCATAAATCCTACTGATTGGTAGAAAGGTTCATGTGTCCGTATCCAGTGACCCCACTCGCCCGAGTGTTTGGACCAAACAGGTGAAGACACACCCAATGCATGCCTCTCTGTACTGTTGTGCTAACCTACAAATTGAAACAATGGTAAAGGTGTCTAATGTGATGAAAAAGAATGTACCTATTTGTGTGGTCATTGAAGTCCTGGACTTGCAGGCTGCTCCTTGCTGATCTCTGGAGGGCATAGCCCATCACAAATGGAAAGCTCAAAATACGCTTGTGAGGTTAAGATGTCATGTACAGGATGTGACAATTCCTTGTTTGAGCCCAGGACCAGAGCATCATAGGTTGGCTCCGCATTTATAGAAGCCCCCTTGGATGGCAGCGAATAACCATGATCTGCCCCTGCCTTCCCTTGAGGACTGACCAGTCTACAAATGGTTGCCCTAAAGGGGTTTTCAGAGGTAGCATCTGTAGATAATGGGACGTAGAGGACACCACACAAATAAAGCAGTTTCAGTTTCCATAAAACAATGGCCACAGCCATCCTAGAGATGAATTGACATCTTAATTCGAAGCAGGGCACAAAAACTGCACACAAATAAGCCAATAAAAAAAGATGTACCTGCAAAACTCAAGTCTTTGTACAAAGCTTAAATCCAGATGGATGAAAACCTGGACTTTCTGCAGAATTCACAGCCGGTGAATGCAAAGAAAGCCAAAAGTGACTAGACAGTTTTCTGGTCTGTAATTTTGCCATTGTTTACAGAACATTTTGTACTAATGCGGGTTTTGAGGTCCCCTTGTGGGGAAACAATAATGGATCCACTGCCTCCCCAACAAGCATGTTGTGAGTGTCGACTAAATAGGGACTTTAAAGTTGGAGCGTGTATGCCTGAGAGGCAGCAAACCAACAGTCTGCATAAATGAGTTCTGTAAAATGGATGTGTATGCAAAGTCAGGTTTTGGAATAAGACTAAAGTCCAAAGGTGGACAAACAATCAGAACTTACCTCCAGAGTTTACAGCCTATGAACAGAAAGAAGAAGAAGCTGGCAAAAAAGCTGTTTGTGATGCTGTAATAACAAAAACAAAACAGAACTATCTTTCTATGAAATTACTGGCAAAAACTGACCTGTCAGTGACATTGTCTAATAAAATTGTCTTTCATTTACAGTGGTGCTCAAGGAGAATATGCTGGCCTCATGACAATTCTGTCTTATTTTCAGTCACTTGGTCAGTCCCAGAGAAAGGTACTTATTAAGCAGATATTAATTGTTTTTCCCCTATTTTGTTTGTGTGTGTGAGTGGCACTATAGCTAAAATGCTATAGAAAGATTCTCAGAATATCTTGGACGAAAAAAAGGAGAAATACTGACATCTTGAAAGATCTGAATATCAAGGAAGATTGGCTAATAAACAGCATCCTGTCTCGGAAGCTGAAATATTTTGGTCATATCAAGAGCCATGACGGATTACAAAGAATTATAGCAGAGGGCATGGTACCAAGAAGAAGGGGCAGGGGCCGACCAGCATGAAGATGGGCACAGGATATAAGTGACTCCTTGAGTATGAAAGTACATGAGGCTGGAGAGCTGGCGAGTCTGTGATGAGAGATTACTTGCAACATGATGATGATTGTACTTGGTAGTTAAACAGCAGCTTTTTGCTTTTGAGCACTTCCTATGTTAGGAAATTAAAAATTAAAGTCAGTAAAGACAAACTATAATCCATGATAGATAATAATAGGTGATTCTGTGAGAAACCTAAACATAAAGTGATGCAGAGAGGAAGAGAGAGTTATGTGTTATGATTTGGGTTTTCTTCACGGCGATCCAGACATTTCCATAGGTGCTCAGATTCCCCCTTCAGCGTATACATCAGCATCCTGTGGTTGATAGTCCTAGTACTATGCTGCGTTGACAAGACTTCTCGTGTTTCCGGTGTGCTTCTCCTGCCTGGCTGTGCCCATTTTTACTACAAGTTCTTGCACTCTTAGCCAAGATGTGGAGGTGCTGGTTCCCTAAATCCTCTGATCGTCTACCTCTCTAATGGCATTAACTATGTCTACATGATCCATGGGATTGCCCTCTGTAACTAAGGAAGAGCCAGCTAATCTGTTGGCTCTTTCATTGCCAAACACACTCGCATGCCCTGGGACAAATATGAAGGTAACTCCACGCACAGTGGAGTTTTGCAATGACTCCATCCATTGTTTGCGTACAAAGCCCGCCTTTACACGCTGGATCATGCTCATAGAATCACTTATCACATACACGTGAGAATAGCCCTGCGATGCTAGCCACATGAAAGCTCGTACAGAGAAAGATGTATACAGAGGGAGAGAAAGAAGCTCATGACCATTTAATTTGACACCAGTCTCTATGTTTGGGAATAGCCTGTTGTCGAAAGTTCTACTGTTTCACTTTCCTTCTCTTTCTTGTTTTTAGAAAATATTTCAGTTTATCCTTTCTCATGAGATACGAAGATAGATTGTCTGCTTCTAATGCAAAACCTATTTTTTTTCTGAGTTACTTTTTCTGTTTATATCATTAGATTTGTTTTTCAGTCGGACCAGTTTGTTTTCAGTGCTCTTCTATACAGCCAAATATTCTAAATAATTTCCTACTAATAACTTATTTCTCAGTTGTCCAGCAGTTCTGCTTACTTTATTTTATGGTAACATATTGTAGCGAATATAATATTTATCTTTGAACTATTAATTCAGATTCCTGTGTTGGTTTCAGGGCCCACATTGTGGGCAGGTTAAAAAAAAAAAAAAACCACTGCCTACCCAACAAGCATGTAGCGCTAGGCAACTAACTGGGGGTTTTCTTCGCAGTTGGAGTATATCTGCCTGAGAGGCATGGAACCAGCAGTTTGTGTACAAAGGAGCCAGATGTGTTAAATGGATGTGCATGCAAAAGTCATTTTCTTGACTGAAGTCCAGAAGTGGATGAACAACCAGAACTTTCCCCTAGAGTTTACAGCAGGTGAACATGAAAAAGAAAGAACAAGAATTGAGATTTTGACTTTTTTTCAAAAATTCAAGATGTTCCACCTTTTGTCAAGATTTAAAGAGCCTTAAAAAAAAAGGTATATAAATGTTTATAATGTGAGCTTTCATATGCAAATCTACGCTTTTGGTAGGTCTGTCTTATACCAATCTCGGCTCATGGTACCAACCCTGCAAGTGCTCAGATGGCGGGGATGAAAATTCAGCCCATTAATGTCAACCGCAAGGGAGCGATAGACATGAAACACATGAAGGAAAATGTGAGTATTTTATATGCAGTCATTTTGTATATTCTGTACTCTTGTACTTATTAGAAGCTAATATTGCAAGAACTACTAATGACTGTAGTAGTTATATTAGTAATTTAATCAGTGATTTTGATTTGATTTGATGCAAGAACCAACATCACAGCACTCGGGGCATTCCCATAAGTGCTCCATTCCCATCTTCAGGAGCCAGCAATGAGTTCTGATACTAATGGTGCTAGTAGCATTCTGATTAAATGTCCGTCTTGCCTTTCCTCTGAGCCTCGAACATCTGCCAGAACCTCTTGTCACTCCCCCCTGCATCAATCTCACCAGACTGTGGTGATCCATCTTCTCCTCCGAACCGTACACGCTCTCCCACAAGGCACTAACCATGTCCACCTTACCAGGTTGTGCAGAGCCAGCCAGTCTGTCCACCTGTTCATTACCCAGCACACCAGTGTGCCCCAGTGAAAAAATCCAGACAGTACTCCTCACCCGTGTTCTCCGCAGCAAAGCATGCTACTCTGCGGGAAGCATGCCTGTCCTGATCTTCCTCAGCATGCTTTCTGAGTCAGTTACAATCACGAGGTATGTGTGTGTTTACTTTAATATACTTTAATCAGTGAAATCCCATTCAACCTTCCTGAAATATTTGGAGTCTTTGTCTTTTCTAATATTGGATATTTATATTTGTCTAATACTTTTGGCTATTTAATATTGGCTACATTATGTGGCCAATAGGCTCTAGTGGACCAAGAGGTGAGGAAAAGACGCTGGCGTTGGATAGGACACACACTGAGAAAACAGAACAGCATAACTAGAATGTCTTTGCATTGGAATCCACAGGGGAATAGGAATAAAGGATGGCCAAAAAACACACGGAGAAGAGAGCTGGAGAATGAAGTTGGAAAGATGGGGAGGACATGGGGAGAGCTCCATGCAATTGCGAAGGATAAAACGACTTGGCTTGAGTTGGTTGAGGGCCTATGCTCCATTGGGGGATAGAAAGGCAGAAGAAGAAGAAGAAGACATTATATGTTTTTTAGATTATAAGTGTTCACTATAATATGTTATAAGTATACGTTTCAAATAATTATGATATTCAGATTACAATATATATCTTCAGAAATATTAAGAGCAGTCTGATTTATCATTTTTTCTTTGTGATGTTAAGACTATATATTAAAAATGTTTTTCATGTTATGTGCTTGCTCGTTGGACCCATCAAAGAAGAAAGCAAAATGAGAATGGATAGGGAGAAATAACAATAAAATTCATAATTTGTTGACATCATTAATTTACACCATTAATCACTGGAGTCGACTGACTTTCTTCCCCACCAGAACATCACACAAGCGATAAACACCCGATGACTCAAAGTGCCACCATGTGGATGAGGATCACCGTGGAGAGGTCCCAAAAAACGCGTTCAGCCATTAGGCCATATTTATGGCCAGGCTATATTGCGGCCCCTGGCAAGAGCCAGAGTAGGGCTTCAAAAAATGAAAAATTTCATCCCAAAAAGGACAGCAATTATACTGATCACTGGCGGGCTAATAGACTGTAATGAATGGAGCATAGAGAAATAATAACAAGAGTGAGAAAAACTGCAAGTGTTGAACAGAAAAAGAAAAAAGGAGGCAGACCAAGAAGGTTGATGATAATATACAGGCAGATCTACAAACACCTAAAGGCCCTAGTCGGAAAGAGAAGGCTAGTCACCTTCTGGGAAGGGAATGATATCTGCAGCAAAGAATTTAAATGGCTTGAAAGGTTAAATAAGATGTGCTGTTTAAACTGTTTAATGAGTTAATTTAACATTTTATATTTGATGCATTACATACTTCAGTGGAAGTCACTGTGGCATTGGTGGTTAGATGCCTGCCTGCGGATTAGAAGGTTGTGGGTTCCCATCCTGATGGAGCCAGACTTTTTTTTTTCGGAAATGAGGAAACGACCTTGACTCCCAGGTTGACCCAGCCTTGAGGGGGTACCAGGTGCAGTTCTGGGAAGAAAAGGCGGCTGGCATGATGCTGACCACATCACACTCCAAGTGCCGATTGGACTATAAACATATAGCTCTAGCCCTATATTCTCAGTACGCCTAAAGGTGAGGAAAAGGGACCTTTTATATACATCAGCGATCCAAATTCCTGAAGTGGTTGAACCACCTGAACTTTCCACTAGAGTTTACAAGCATGAGAAGCACACTGGACGCACATGAAGTCTTGTTAACCAACATACGACTGGTACTATTAACCGCACGACGCTGATGAATATGTTGAGAGGGGAATCTGAGCGCCTATGGATGTACCCGGAGTGCTGTGAAGATAATCTAACTCATAACTAGAGTTTACAGCCAGTGAACGAGAAGAAGACTTGAGCATATTACCCTGAAATAAAGTTATAAAATTAGCTTTATAAGATTAAAATCAAATGCAATGCATACGCTGTTCATTTTGTATCCATTACTTGTGACTTGGATATTGATAACTCAGTGTGTTCCAGTCTCTACCTTGGACCACTATACATGAACTCCATAAATTTAACTTCTTTCAATATTTTCCATTGCCAGTTGGAAAAATACAAGAATGAGCTAGCCTGCTCTATGATCACATATCCCTCAACACACGGTGTATTTGATGAAGACATCAGGTAAACAAACTTAGTAGTTAATATGTGTTTCATTGTTCTCTTCTTCATTAGTTCTTTGTTAAGTTTTACATTATGAATCAAATTCCACCAGTGAATGTTCTAAATATATCATTGCATAAATCATTGCCATTTGCTTGCTATTAGGTCAACAGGATGAAGTATGGACAGGGCAGACATACTGAATACCATATGTTCCAGAAATATCGAGACAAAAGAATCAGAGACAATGAACCAAGTATGGACAGGGCAGACATACTAAATACCCTATGTTCCAGAAATATTGAGACAAAAGAATCAGGTACAATGAACCAAGTATGGACAGGGCAGACATACTGAATACCCTACGTTCCAGAAATATTGAGACAAAAGAATCAGGTACAATGAACCAAGTATGGACAGGGCAGACATACTAAATACCCTACGTTCCAGAAATATTGAGACAAAAGAATCAGGTACAATGAACCAAGTATGGACAAGGCAGACATACTAAATACCCTACGTTCCAGAAATATCGAGACAAAAGAATCAGGGACAATGAACCAAGTATGGACAGGGCAGACATACTAAATACCCTATGTTCCAGAAATGTTGAGACAAAGGAATCAGGGACAACGAACCATCTATTAGAAATGGGTATTAAATAAGGACTCCATGTAGAAACTGATTGCCTGGCACAGAAAGAAGATATGCCAGTCACTGCTACTTGATACATTGAGCATAAAGACACTGAGATGGCTGATGTTTGAGAGGATGGAGCACAAATGTATCACACTTTCAAGCTAGGATAACAATACGGGCAAGTAACAAGCAGGATATACTGGTCACAAGATCAAGTCTTGACCATTAGTGTTTTGATGGACATTCACGACATTTACCAAAGGATAAACAATCAAGGAAACTTGTTAGGCTATTGCAATTTTTAAAAAAAAAAGTAAAGTAAAGATCCCTTTTTACGCCTTAGGCGCATCGGGCATATGGAAAGAGCATATACCATATTTTTACAGACTGATCAGCACTAGGTGGGTAATGTGGTCAGCATTATGTTGACCGTCTTTACTTCCCCAGGACAGCCATCCTGGTACCCATTTTAGGCTAGGTTGACGCCCCATACCACTATAAAAATTCTTGCAGCCAGCAGTGGATTTCGATCGCGGTACTTTGAAATTATGAGTTGGACTCGCAACGTCTAAGCCACGGACGCTGCAATGCAATAATACAAGTATTATAATGATGAAGGTGATGGCAGTAAAGGAAAATAGGTCTAGTTCAGGGGTTGTAACCTTTTCTTTCCCACCAAGTACAGTGTGGGTATTGATAACATCGTTTTTCGACCATGTAAGATTACTAGCTTAACAGTTATTATTCTGTGTTTTGTCAAGCATTCAAATTAGGGTTGCATTGAAAGGGCCAGATTGTATTGTTTGCAGGCTTTATACAACTCCTGGCTGGCCATACCCCACCACTGATCTGGAATTATAAGATTACCTTTTAGGATAATTGTCATGAGTAAGATATGCGCTAGCGTTGGATAAGACATACATTGAGAAAACCTGAGAACAGTAGAACTAGAATGTCTTAACCCTGGAACCCACAGAGGTATAGCAGTAAAGGAATACCAAAAGACGCAGAGAGAAGAGGGTCTAGAGAGGGAAGTTAAAAAGATGGGAGGACATGGGGAGAGCTACACGCAATAGCAAAGGATAGAATAACTTGGTGTGAACTGGTTGAGGGCCTATGCTCCATTGGGGGTTAGAAGGAAGAAGAAGTTGTTGCTTTCCTTTGAAATCATTAAAAAAACCAATACATGTATCTTTTTTTTCCTTTGTTCTCTTAATCCTGGGAGTCGGTAGTAAGGTTTTGAGGTTTTGAACAACGGATCAACATCATGGCACACAGGTAGTAAACCATAAATGCTTCGTTATTCTTCTCACTCAAGTCTGAGTCCGAAGAAGCTCAGCACAGTGCACAGGCACTCAAGTCTGAGTCCGAAGAAGCTCAGCACAGTGCACAGGCTCTGAAGCCAGCGAGAATCCTAAAATTCTGTTGGTAGATTTTAAACTCCAAATTTTGCCCGGGCAGCGCCGTTAGGCTACTCTTTTCGATTTCCCACTGCCACTGGATTTTTTTATGTGTGCACCAATACACACGGGCGTCCGATCTCAACTACCCAGAGACCAGGGGGAATTACTAAAGTCCAAGTTCACATAAAAAAAACTCAGCCCACACCAGGGATTGAACCCATAACCTCTAGCACTCGAGGCAGATACCCTGCCTCGAGACCACGCAGCCCCTGAGAGTAATAAACAAACTCAGAAGCTGATTTGTTAGCCACTATAATAGAATGTCAGCCAGTAGATCAAGCAGGTATTCTCATTTTTTTTCAGATAAATAAGCAGAGGGGGGAATTCTTAAGGCCGTTAAATATTATATATTAAAAAGGTAACAGAAAATGTATTGATCGGCACTAATAGAAAGAAGTAGAAAGGTGGAACAACACATTAGACAACATAACAATCGAAAGCTATAGTTACCGTGCCGGGAATTGAACCTGTCACGTCAAGATGGTGTTTGCGCCTCGCTGTGGAAACAAGCGCACTAAGAACATGGTCAACCAAGCACCCCCAAAAAAGGTGACTTATTAGCCATGTCTATCGTACAGCTTGAAACCCACAATTATGGAATACGGACAGAATTCATTTCAAACCATTGATTTGGCACCGTAGGTTACAGTAATGAATATTAACAAAGCATACGTACAATAAAAAACACAGCAACAATTTACGAACACGATAGACCTTAATGCTTTGTCTAGAATACACAAACATTTAAGCAAGGTATTTGATTGGTAGGTTCAGGGGTGTATACGTCATTTCCATAAATAAACAGAGGGGAAACCCTTGAGGCTGTTAAATATTATATATTAATAAAGTAACAGAAAAAGTATTTCAGAGACTTGGCCAGATCAAAGGAGTTTTTTGGCGATCCTGTGAGATGCTAAATTGTCGTTGTCCATGCTTTCCAGCACGGTTTATGGTCATGGCGATAAGTTTGATGTCCATCATATCATATTTCAGTCCTTTTTTTAGTGCACACAAACACACACACACACACATTTGCATACGTTTACTCACACAATTACGTCAGTTGTATGTAAGTAAATATGCTCTTTTCTACACCGTCAGGTGAATTGGGCATATAGTGTTAAACTTATATTTTGTAGACCAATCGGTACTCAGTGGGTGATGTGGTAAACATTATGCCAGCTGACTTTACTTCCCAGGACTTTCCCTAGCACCCATTTAAGGCTGGTAAACCTGGGAGCCAAGGTGATTTTTAGAAGAAAACAAAGTCTGTTTCTGTCCGGATTTGAACCTATGACTTTCGGATCTGCAGATGAGCATCTAGCACCTACACCATGGTGGTTCCGTAAAATCAAATATCCTTTCGCAATTTTCTTTTCAGAGAGATTTGTGACCTGACTCATCATTTTGGTGGGCAGGTATACTTGGATGGAGCCAATATGAATGCACAGGTATGTAGTGCCAGTATGTAGTACCTAAATGTAGTACCAAGATGAAGGGCAGAGTACCAGGATGTAGTCCCAGAGCGCCAGGATGTAGTACCAGTGTGTAGTATGTATTGCCAGGATGTAGTACCAGTATGTAGTGCAAAGATGTAGTGCCAGGATGTTGTGCCAGTATGTAGTACCAGGGCGTAGTGCCAGTAAGTAGGTATGTAGTGCCAGGATGTAGTACCAGAGTACCAGAATGTAGTGCCAGGATGTAGTACCAGAGTACCAGAATGTAGTGCCAGGATGTAGTGCCAGGATGTGGTACCAGAATGTAGTGCCAGTATGTAGTGCCAGTATGTGCTGCCAGTATATAGTACCAGGATAAGGTGTCAGGATAAAGTGCCAGTATGTAGTAACAGTATGTAGTACCAGGGCGTGGTGCCAGTAAGTAGGTATGTAGTATCAGGATGTAGTACCAGGATATAGTGCCAGTATGTAGTACAAGAGTACCAGGATGTAGTGCCAGGATGTAGTACCAGGGTGTAGTGCCAGGATGTAGTGCCAGAATGTAGTGCCAGGGTGTAGTACCAGAGTACCAGAATGTAGTACCAGGATGTAGGTCCAGGATGTAGGTCCAGGGTGTAGTACCAGGATGTAGGTCCAGGGTGTAGTACCAGGATGTAGGTCCAGGGTGTAGTACCAGGATATAGTGCCAGGGTGTAGTGCCAGGATGTAGTACCAGAGTACCAGAATGTAGTGCCAGGATGTAGTACCAGAGTACCAGGATCTAGTGCCAGGATGTTATATTGCCAGGATGTAGTGCCATGGTGTAGTGCCAGGGTGTATTGCCAGGGTGTATTGCTAGTATATAGTACCAGGGTGTAATGCCAGAGTACCAGGATATAGTGCTAGGATAAAGTGCCAGTACGTAGTGATAGTTTGTAATGCCAAAGAACCAGGATGTAGTGCCAGTATGTAGTACCGGGATGTAGTGCCAGGATGTAGTACCAGGATGTAGTGCCAGGGTGTAATACCAAGATGTAGTTCCAGGATGTAGTTACAGGATGTAGTGTCAGGATGTATTGCTAGTATATAGTACCAGGGTGTAGTTCCAGAGTACCAGGGTGTAGTGCCAGAGTACCAGGATGTAGTGCCAGTGTGTAGTGCTAGTATGTAGTATCAAGATGTAGTACCAGTATGTAGTGCAAGGATGTAGTACCAGAGTACCAGGATGTAGTACAGGATGTAGTGCCAGGATGTAGTACCAGGATGTAGTGCCAGAGTACCAGGATGTTGTACCAGAATGTAGTACAGGATGTAGTGCCAGGATGTAGTACCAGGATGTAGTGCCAGAGTACCAGAATGTAGTACCAGGATGTAGTGCTAGAATGTGGTGCAAGGATGTAGTACCAGAGTACTAGGATGTTGTACCAGAGTACCAGGATGTTGTACCAGAATGTAGTACAGGATGTAGTGCCAGGATGTAGTGTCAGGATGTAGTACCAGAGTACCAGAATGTAGTACAAGAGTGTAGTACTGGGATGTAGTGCCAGGATGTAGTACCAGAATGTAGTGCCAGGATGTAGTGTTAGGATGTATATTGTGCCAATATGTAGTGTAAATTTGTAGTACCAGGATGTAGTACCAGAATGTAATACCAGGATGTAGTACCAGATGTAGTACCTGAGTACCAGGATGTAGTACAAGGATGTAGTACTGGGATGTAGTGCCAGGATGTAGTGCCAGGATGTAGTGTTAGAATGTTGTACCAGAGTACCAAGATGTAGTATCAGAGTACCAGAATGTTGTATCAGGATATATTATCAGAGTACCAGGATGTAGTATTAGACTACCAGGATGTAGTATCAGAGTACCAGGATGTCGCATCAGAGTACCAGTATGTAGTATCAGAGTACCAGGATGTAGTATCAGAGTACCAGGATGTAGTATCAGAGTACCAGTATGTAGTATCAGAGTACCAGGATGTAGTATCAGGATGTAGCACCAGAGTACCAGGATGTAGTACCAGAGTACCAGGATGTAGTACCAGAGTACCAGGATGTAGTGCCAGGATGTCATACCAGAGTACAAGGATGTAGTATTAGAGTACCAGGATGTAGTATTAGACTACCATGATGTAGTATCAGAGTACCAGGATGTCATATCAGAGTACCAGGATGTCGTATCAGAGTACCAGGATGTAGTATCAGAGTACCAGGATGTAGTGCCAGGATGTCGTACCAGAGTACCAGGATGTAGTATTAGAGTACCAGGATGTAGTGCCAGGATGTAGTATCAGAGTACCAGGATGTAGTATCAGAGTACCAGGATGTAGTATCAGAGTACCAGGAGGTAGTGCCAGGATGTAGTATCAGAGTACCAGTATGTAGTGCCGGGATGTCATACCAAAGTACCAGGATGTAGTATCAGAGTACCAGGATGTAGTGCCAGGATGTCGTACCAGATTACCAGGATGTAGTATCAGAGTACCAGGATGTAGTGCCAGGATGTAGTATCAGAGTACCAGGATGTAGTGCTAGGATGTAGTATCAAGAGTACCAGGATGTAGTGCTAGGATGAAGTATCAAGAGTACCAGGATGTAGTGCTAGAATGTAGTACCAGGATGTAGTGCCAATATGTAGTGTCAATTTGTAGTACCAGGGTGTAGTGCTAGAGTACCAAGATGTAGTACCAGGATGTAGTATCACAGTACCAGGATGTAGTATCAGAGTACCAGGATGTAGTTTCAGAGTACCAGGATGTAGTATCAGAGTACCAGGATGTAGTATCAGAGTACCAGGATGTAGTATCAGAGTACCAGGATGTAGTATCAGAGTACCAGGATGTAGTATCAGAGTACCAGGATGTAGTATCAGAGTACCAGGATGTAGTGCTCTGATGTAGTGCTAGAGTACCAGGGTGTAGTATCAGGATGTAATACCAGTATGTAGTGCTAGGATGCAGTGCCAGGATGTACTACCAGGATGTAGTACCAGAATGTAATGCCAAGATGTAGAAGCAGGTTGTAGTACCAGGGTATAGTACCAGTATGTATTGCCAGAGTACCAGTATGTAGTGCCAGCATATAGTGCCAGGATGTAGTGCTAGAATGTAGTACCAGGATGTAGTGCTAGAATGTAGTACCAGGATGTAGTGCCAATATGTAGTGCCAATATGTAGTACCAGGGTGTAGTGCCAGAGTACCAAGATGTACTACCAGAGTACCAGGATGTAGTATCAGAGTACCAGGATGTAGTTTCAGAGTTTCAGGATGTAGTATCAGAGTACCGGGATGTAGTATCAGAGTACCAGGATGTAGTGCCAGGATGTAGTATCAGAGTACCAGGATGTAGTATCAGAGTACCAGGATGTAGTATCAGAGTTTCAGGATGTAGTACCAGAGTACCAGGATGTAGTATCAGAGTACCAGGATGTAGTACCAGGATGTAGAGCCAGGATGTAGCACCAAAATGTAGTGCGAGGATGTGGCGCCAGGAGGTAGTACCAGGAGGTACTACCAGGATGTGGTGTCAGGAGGTAGTACCAGGATGTAGTGCCAGGAGGTTGTGCCGGGATGTAGTGCCAGTTTTCTAATTATTGACCTGAGTGTAGTTTTGTGTGTGTATGTGTAATATTATCCTGTCTGTCTACATTCTTCTTCTCCTCTTTTGCCTTTCTTAATCGGCCTGAAATTGTCTTATTTGTCACTAACAGCTGCAAATATCACAGCTGTTTTAAATAAGTACAACAGAATTGTCTCCATTACATGTACATAAATATAGGATAATTGTGCAAGATAGAAATGTAGCTGTTAACTACAATATTGCATTACCATCTGTATTTTGTTCAGCAGTTCTATAGTTGACTGCATTATTAAAATATCAAATAGCTCAAGAGTTACAGGCGACAGTAGATAAGGTGATTGACTGGTGTACAGAGATGAGTGCTGTAATCAACCAGAAAAGGCAACCCTCCTGTGGTGTTCTTTGGACAAAAGGATTGTCAGAGCAGATGTTCCCAGACTCAAATACATGGCTGGGACATCAAAAGAGACAACAGACTGCGTTATCTAGGTATCACCTTTTACAGAAGTTTGTCTTTCGAGGATCACATAGTTGTGACAAAGGCTTAAAAAAGTCTTAATGCACTAAAGATTTTGGCAGCGATGGACATGAAGCAGAGAATGCTGTTCACACTTTACCAGCACTCAATCATCACAGAGATTGATTATGGATTAGGGTTACTCACTGTCTCGAAGAGGCAGCTAGCGCATACAGAATGAAGCTATGCGGCTGATCCTGGGATGTACAAGAGACACCCTGATTGTGTGCAAGCGATACATCCTTGCATTGCTGACTATTTCAGATAGGCTGAAGGTGCTGCAGGCTAAGTCATGCCTCAGAGTAGCTACAGACAAAGAACACCCTCTGAATGAATCTTTGGCTGAAAAGGGGGAAATTGTGGATGGCTCAAGCAGAAGACACAATAAGACAAGTATTCATGCTGGAGAACATTGGCGAGGAGAGGAGTGGGTCAGAGTCTGACCTGTGTAGGGTTATGATCACATTGGGCTGGGAGCACAGAGAGTGGCCAGCAGGTGCTGCGGAGATGGAAGTCGAACAGTTGATTCACGACAATTCATGCCCAGGTGATCTGATTATCTATACAGATGATCTGATTATCTATACAGATGATTCAGTGGTGAGAGGAAAGAGAAGTACCTGGGGGTTTGTAGCAAAAGCCAATGTAAAATCTTCAGTGCAAGACAGCCTAGCATACGACATCACAACATCTAGCATAAGAATGGAGGTGAAGGCGGTAACTGCAGCTCTCTGATGGCTAGAGAACAAGATGCATACACATGTCATAATTGTAACAGACTCTGAAAGCATGCTAAGAAAAGTGAAAACAGGGATGCTTCGAGCAGAGTGGCAAGCTTCACTGGGAAGGTCACATGTAGTGCGCATACTTTGGATCTTTTCTCCAGGCAATGCCGGCATAGTGGGTAATGAACAGGCAGACAGACTGGCTGGATCTGCACCACTGGGTGGTGAATTGATACATGACAAGGCAGGTGTGGTCAAGGCCCTTTGGGAAGAAGCAACAGAATTTGTAGAGAAACAATATATGGCCTGGAGAGAATAAGGCACCTGGGTGTAACCAAAGGGTCTGGCCGGCTCGCTTCACTCAGTGGAAAGACATATAACCAGATTGTGACCAGTACCATCAGTACTGGAACTTTGTGCTGGCTGCTGAAGATGAGGACAGAGCACATCTGAGTGCTGTGATGTTAATTTTTGACTCAACTCAACTAATAAATAATCATGCATAAGACTCATAATTTATTCTCTGTATGTTATTCTGTGTGTGTTGTGGGGTTCCATTGGGTGAAAGAGAAAGTGGGGGTGGGCAGACACACTGCTCCCCCAAACCAACATGTTGTGAAAGGTGAGTAATTAGAGATGTTGGTGTGAATTGCCTGAGAGGGTGAGGAGCAAACAGCCTGCATACAAATAAGCAAGATCTGTAAATCTGATGTGCACACAAAACTCAAGTTCTGGAAACGAGACCAAAGTGAGACATGGATGAACAACCAGAACTTTTTGGCGAAAATACAGCTGGTGAACACTAAGATGAAGAAAAATTTTTCATTCTCTTTGTTATTTAACCTTTTTTACGTTATTTAACTTGGTTACGTTATTTAACGTATTATTGATATGTAGGTTAACTGGTTTATTTTTGTTGACAAGGTTGGCATTTGCCGTCCTGGAGACTATGGCTCTGATGTGTCCCACCTCAATCTTCATAAAACATTTTGTATTCCACATGGTGGAGGTGGTCCAGGAGCTGGGCCCATTGGAGTGTAAGTTGCTTCCAGTGCTTTCCAACAGCCAGTATGGTTGCTGGTTGTATTTAAATGTCTTATGATGTCTTCTTTATGTGATAAGCTCATTTACTGTGTCAATGGTTTAGTTATAGATTTTCTTAGCTCTATGCCATGAAGCTTTTAGATGATCAGCTTAAAAAAAAATATATAATTTTTTTTTTTTTACATCTTCTACAATTTCAGATTCTTCTTCTGTCAACTTAATTTTACCTAAAATTAATTATACGAGATTTGTACCATTTTCATTTCATCATTACATACTATACTAAACTTCAGCTAAAATGTTCCCTTTCCTGTAAATCAGAATTATCTCTCTTTTGTTAATTCACAATCATTTCACACACTTCTGTGTTACTGGATCTGTCTGATTTGATGAAACAATTTTTGTGTGTGCCACATTTAGCCATCTCCTTTATCAAAGGAGCTTTTGTGTTATAATTGTGGGCTGAAATTGGGTTTGTGCACCATGGTTAATGGCTTAGTGTTAAAGTGCTTTTTCAACTTAGGATCCCGTAAAAAAAGTCGGCTCTCCTCCGAACTTCCAACCCCGCAGTATTGCGGCCTGAAATATCTGTTTGGGGCGCAGTCCAATTAAAAATATAAAATATAGATATAAAAAAATATTTGTCAAAGTTCCTGCTGAGGAACAAATTGCGGCAAAACTAGGAGTACGTTACAATGTCACGAGACGCAACATTGCAGACGATAGTAGCAGACGATAAAAGCGACCGTTGACAATTTTGAGACATTACAGACGATGAAAGCGATATGGCAGGTAGACAACGCGCTCCCACGCAGATTAGCAATACTGTTCTTCCGATTGAGGATTTAGCAGCTGTAGATGCCAGACTTGTCGGTATGCGCAAAACACGATTAAACTCACCGCCAAGCCTATCCCCCGCGCCGCTACCCGCGGCCCGGATGGGGGGCTAAACTAGGTGCCTGGGAATCATGAGCAAAGTAATTGCAGGAGATGCGGTAGCTGCCGCTCGTGAGTCCCAGCCATCTAGTTTAGCCCCTATCCGCACCGCGCGTAGCCGCACGAGGGATACGGTCCGCGGTGAGGCGTAGTCACAGAAACAGGTCCTCAAGTAACATATCGCTGAGACCTGTTAGAGCATTTGTTTAGTTTTTCCAAGCTGATCCTAGATTTGCCTGGATTTGTTCGTCGGCAGTCGACAATGAAAAGTGTCAACGGTCGCTATTATCTTCGTCTGCTACTATCGTCTGCAGTGTTGCGTCTCTTAGAATAGTCAGGTAATCAGAAACAGGTCCGCAAGGAACATATCGCTGAGACCATGTTAGAGCATTTGTTTTGTTATACGGAGCCGGCATATTTATAATTGGACTGCGCCCCGAACGGATATTTCAGGCCGCAATACTGCGGGAGTAGAAGTTCGGAGGAGAGCCAAAAGGTCTAATTATCTTTTAACAATATTTTGGTGCTTGTCTTGTAAAATGTCAAAATATATGTATCTTTCAGTGAGTCATTTTCGGGGGGAAGCAGATTTTACACTTAATGCATGCTAAACTTTTAAATTCTGGGTTGCCTTGTGGGTCTGCTGATTCCTGCTTCGTTCCTATGTCATGTAACTGCAGTTTGTTAATATCTGTCCCAACTCAGCATTTTTTTCAACTCAAATACTTGAGTTGAGTTAAAGACTCCTTTTTACCCTTTTGTCCCATACAAATCTTTAAAACTCATGTGCATGCAAAATTCATATTCTGGAACAAAACTAAAGTCCAGAAGTGGTCGAGCAACCAGAACTTTCTACCATAGTTTATAAGCCAGTAAACACAAAGAAGATGAAGATGATAAATTCTTCCTAAGTTTCTTGTGAAAGGGTAATAGTTTTGGTATTTGTCAGCTGTTTGCTGTCCCATGAGTTGCCACTAATCTCTAATGCGGATGTGGTTCCATGTTATGATGCTTCGTCCTTGTTGCTTTAGTCCTCCAATTTTTCAGTTTTCATTATGAGTGTGGCTAAAGGTGCCGGACTTGATTCCCTACACCAGGGGCTGTTCAGCTAAGTTTATTCAGGGAACAAAATTTTGAACTGGGAATCATCACGTGCCAGAGACCCGAGCCCCGACATAGAAAGATCATACATACAATACAACAGGCAGTGACCTGTGGGCTACTTGCAAGGCCTCTGTGGGCCAGATTTGGCCCGGGCGCTGCCAGTTGAATAGTCCTGCCCTGTCATCATGTTGAAGGTTCCTTGCAGAAAGTCCCTCTCATCATGGTCTGCCTGAAAGAAACTCAGTCTCACTTATATCCTGTGCCCATCTTTGTGTTGTTTGGCTCCTGCCCATTCTTCCTGTTACCATGCCTTCTACTATTGTTTTTTCTGATCCATTGTGGCGCTTGATGTGACCACAATATTTCAGCTTCCGAGACAGGATGCTGTTTATTAGCCAGTCTTCCTTGATGTTCAGATCTTTCAAGATTTCAGTATTTCTGCTCTTTTTTGTCCAAAATAGTCCTCCCTACACAATTAAAAAGGGATTGCACAAGAAGATACAAAATATAGAAATCAGTTGTGAGCTGTATTTGATGTATAAACAGCACCAAAGAATGGTGATGTCAAGGATGACATTTTCAAGTCATGACATATCCAAGGAAGGTGGATGTTTGACCTCTGTTAGGGTAACTAGAAGTGTGCTTTCTTTAACATGTTCTTTTAAAGCCTATCCCTCTGAGAAGGATAAATCTAGTCACTTCCAGTTGTGACACAGCTCCATAAATGCCAGTATGTAGCCATTTCTGGAGTGACCTATCCTCACCTCATAAAGCATACTTAAATGCCAGTGGGTCTAGTGTGTGCCTGTACTGTGTTTAACTCTACCAGACCTGAGGCTTTGAACCTAACTGTCCCCTAAATCTGGGCTCCTAAGCATTGAAGAGGAAAAAACCAAATTTTACATGCAGATTAGTGGTAAGAATACGATGGAACTTGGGGACATCGTAGAAAATGGTCCTACTTTTCATCTTCGCCAATATTCCACTTTTGTGTGCCAATCCACCCAGTTAGATGAGCCTCGTTTTTACACAGACGTGCTTCTTGCAAAGTAAGCACCAGATGTTGCTCTTTATCTTCTTGCATAAATTGTCTTTGTAAGACACTCCAAAATGTTGCGTGTTGTATGTGGAGTGCTTTTTCCATGCAGACCAAACAGATATGATTAGACGATGTCCCAGGGGAAAGCTTTGCAAAATGATTGCCTGGGGTCATCCATTGAGGGTAGGATTCCTTTTGTGGGTGGCGGTGGGCTGATATCCTTATCTACCAATAAGCTGCAGGCACAGTTTCTGGTGAAATAAACTAGCTTTTTTAAAGCAGCTTGCTGCTTTGAAGCATACAAGATGTAAGAATTATACCTGACCCACATAAAAAAATTCCTTGTCCAACCTTCATCATCACCTAGATCTCCCCCCATTAGCGTTTGAGGAGTACGCCTCCCCCTCCCCCCTGTTTTTCTCTTGCTATCGAATCGATTTAGCTGTAGATCTATAAGGTTCAAGATTCTCATCATTACTTGAGCTATGTCACTTGTCTGTGTCACTTGAACTGGAAACCTATTCTTGATGAAATTCTGACTCCTTAGAGTCTGAATCAGCCAAAGTATTAATCACCTGTTGGACTGTGAAAAGCCTAGACCTACTTTGATTTCCTGTTAAAGTGCTTGGTTCATCAGCCGCTCATTTCATTGTAAATTTTCAGAATTTTCTACGTTCAGCCACACAGAGTCAGTTCAGACACATGGTAGCAGACATTTGCTATGGCTAACCCTAAGGTTTTACCACGATTGTTGATTATTTTAAGAATTTGACGCATTCTTTTTCATGTACTATGTATGCAAAGTCCCAAAAATTAGGTACAGCGATATGGCGGCAGATTAGGAAATTACCGAAAAATCAATGTAGCGGTCTGGTAGAGTTAATAATATAGCAACTAACATTAGAATTAGGGGTTTGCTCATGACCCCAATGGCCTTTTTTTTTAAGTAACTGCCAAATTCTTCCTTTAAGCTTCCATGAAAGAGATCACCCAATGCATATTGTTTTATGGACTCAATTAAGGTATTCTATTTAGTGCTTCATTCTGTTCATATTTATTGATTATTGATTACCCCTTTTATATATCTTTATATATTTCACCCAAAAAGTTTAAACATTTAGATAAATAATTTGTTTTTCAAATATAATAATGACATGTGTACAACTGTTTTTTTGTTGTTGTTGTTTTTTTAAAAAGGATTTTTCTAGTAATTCCTATGGGTTTATGACCATTTTTTAAGCATCCGAGGAATGAATTCCAGAGAAATTTGACTAAAAAGCTCAACAAAATGGGAAAGAGGAAAACGTGCACAAAACAACAACAAAACTACGTTTCGGCCGGGCAGCCTTTTTCAAACACAAGTGAAATACACAGATATATTTCACTTGTGTTTGAAAAAGGCTGCCCGGCCAAAACGTAGTTTTGTTGTTGTTTTGTGCACGTTTTCCTCTTTCCCATTTTGTTGAGCTTTTTAGTCAAATTTCTCTGGAATTCATTGTATTAGCTTGAATGCAGTCACCCCCATAGTTTCACCATTTTTGCATCCGAGGAATGAAATGCATCATATTCCTTTTCTCTTTTGTATTCATCATTCTTTTCTAGAACCATATCCCTGCAGCTTCTAAATAATTTCTCACTGATTTGATGATTGTCCATCATTTGCATTCATACGTCAGCATTTGGTATATATCATTTTTATAAACGGACATCTCACCTTCATTGTCAAAATTGTCACATAAGCATGATACTGTTCAAGTGCACGCTGCAGTCTAAAGATTTAGTTTTAATGTATATGTTTTAAATTTTTATAATCCGATGACAGGAAGGCACATTTGGCACCATTTCTCCCAACAAATCCTGTGACCCCACCAAAAGGTACTGATAGTGGCTTATCATTTGGAAGTGTCTCATCTGGACCATATGGTTCCACGTCCATTCTTCCCATTTCCTGGGCCTACATCAAAATGATGGGAGCTAAGGGACTGAGGAAAGCTTCCCAGGTCGCCATCTTAAATGCTAATTACATGAGCAAGAGGCTTGCTGGCCATTATAAAACTCTCTACACAAATGAAGCAGGTAATATGCTCTACAGCTGATATATCTTTCTTTGACACTAGTCAGAAACTTATTTTAGCATATTTACAGTGTCTTTAAAGGCATTAACATCCTATATAGAGCCTGTTTTAACATATAGCTGTGAATCCTGGAAAATTAATAAACAAGCCAAACAATTTCTTGAGGCCTTTTAGATGTGGTTTTTACAGAAGAATTCTTTGCCAAATGTTTTGAAAAAGGTGATGGCTTATAGATAATTTATTGCAGAGTTCAGAAAGAGACAGTCATCATTCTTTGATTATTTTAGGAGAAGAAAACTGGAGCGACACTGGAAAGATCTGTGGAAAAGAGACAGAGAAAAATAATGCAAGAAGATTCTTGACAGCCTTTTATCATGGCAGGGAGGGGTGTAGGCACATAAGCTGATGAATGCTGTTAAAGATCCTAAATTGTAGAGAGAGGTTAGTATGATTGCCCCTGCCAGGCAGCAAGATGATGATGATGATGAAAATACCTGTAGGGGGAACTGCCACATTATGCATTCCAAGAAAGTCAGGCATGAAATTTCATGTCATGGAAAAGTCAGAAAGGGACCCCCCCCCCCCCCCCCCCCCTCTCCTCCGACACTTCGATGAGTTTCAAGGGGGAAGAGAAGAAGAAGAAAAGTAAGGGACCAGTTGTTTTTCCAGCATGCTGTAATGAAAGCAACATTCTGCAAAGGACCTGCTGCCGCATGATGACATGACAGTCTGTTTGGAAACCATGGTGGTGCAAAGGCTTGATTTTTGCTCACTAGCCTGAGGTCTGTTTTTCAAATTTGCATCAGATTCTTTACTTTACTTTTAATACCTGAACCCTTTAACCCCCTTTAATCTCTTCTCTCCCAAGTTTCTTCCCCCCCCCTCCCTCCCCCCCCCCCCAAAAAAAAACTTTGAAAAAATACATTTTACACAGGACCAACAAAAATCCTTGTAATTCAGTTTATGGACCAAAGTAAAAACAATATTAAATTCCATGCAGAATAAGATAGGTAATCAGTAAACATTAACTCTTTGAGACCCAAGGAACGCATCTTACTTTCATAGATTATTGCCTAGAAGCCCAATGAACACATGATGCACTGATTTTACGTCTTTTGACTACCCCTTGGGCCTGTGATGCTAAACCCTCTGGGACTCAAAGAGTTAATGAAATGGAGAATTAACTGGGTTACATCTCTTTGAGTCTTAAAAAAAATTGTATCATGACTCATTCTTGACCCTATGACCCAGTCACCAGATCACCATTGATTATTCTGCCCTCATAATTTCTTCTTTTTTTTTTATATAAGCCAGTTATTTATATGAAAACCCAAACTGAATGTTATTTCTGTCAACTGTAATCATTCCTCATGCTCTTAAGCATTTGCCAAGGTACAAATTATACCAAAACTGCTAGCTAGGCTCTATAGCAGTTTTGGTAAGGTGACCTTTACAGGGTGTGGTGGGTTGGGCACAAGCTGGATGTGTCTGTATTTTGGATTCTCATAGTGAAAGTGTGTTTACTGCTTAGATGAGAATATATAAAGATGCGGTAATTTCTTTGTCTTATCATTATATTATTATATATTATAATAATATTATATTATGCTTACAAATATTTATTACATTTATGATAGTGATAATCTTATTTGAAATCATATGTAATTTAAAAAAAAAATGTCAAATCATAAATACTGTATTCTTTCAAATTAACAACAAAATGACATAAATTTACAGGTTTCTGTGCACATGAGTTCATCATAGACTGCAGAGAGTTCAAGAAAACAGCCAATGTGGAAGCTATTGACATTGCCAAAAGATTGCAGGACTATGGTAAGGAAATTTCATTTACTCATTTATTATGTTGGTTTTTTTCTTTTCCAGGATGCACTAATGGTTTTTATGTATTCCAGAGCAGTATACATTGAAAATACAAATTACACCTAATACCCAACCTATACTGTGGTATACAAATTACACCTAATACCCAACCTATACTGTGGTATACAAATTACACCTAATACCCAACCTATACTGTGGTATACAAATTACACCTAATACCCAACCTATACTGTGGTACCTTATATCTCACTTGATACCCAGAGCGGTAAAAGAGGAACTGAAGAAGATGTAGAAGAAGGCGAACCCATTTATAAGCTGAGTGTTTAAAGGGATATTATATTTGTAAATACTGTTAACTACTACATAATAGTTTTTATCGCAGTTGCAGCATCTGGGCTGTACGTATATAACGTATATCATATGTGACACATGAGAATGTTTATCAGATATTCTTTTATTTCACATACAATTTTCGGCTCTCCTAGCACATTTGGACGCAAGCGGGACGGCTTCGGTCAGCTTAGTGGGAGTTCTCTCCCTTGGCCGCATTGACAACAACGAGCGGAAAAAGTCACGAATCAAACAAGACAGTGAGGTCAATATCAGAGCTGCCAATGCTTGGTTGTGTCCCCCCAGATGTGGGTTTTTCTATTGACGCTGTGGGGAAATTGTGGGTTTTTGTTTTTTTGGGTGTTTTGCCGATCTGTATGCTTTGATGACCGATAAATTTGCGTGGTTAGGGGTAGGGTTAGGGCTAGCGGTAGGGTTTGGGTTAGGGTTAGGATTAGGGGTAGCGTTAGGGTTACGGTTAGGGTTAGGGGTAGCGGTAGGGTTAGCGGTAGGGTTAGGGGTAGGGTTAGGGGTAGGGTTAGGGGTAGGGTTAGGGGTAAGGTTAGGGTTAGGTTTAGCGTTAGATGTGACAATTTTGACACTGTAGTTCCCTATAATCGCGCACAGTCACATACACACCAAAACAGTCGACGTACGGTGGATGCTACTGACTCGGACAATTCGCCACCGATTGGGCACCAGCCACGCGCTATTGCAATCATATTTGGCACACTTCCAGTGGCGCCACTCCTACAAGCATCAGATTGTCGCCCAGTATTTGGACGTTCTACGTCACCATTTTCACATCTAACCCTACCCCTAACCCTAACCCTAACCCCTAACCCTAACCCTACCCCTAAACCTACCCCTAACCCTAACCCTATCCCTAACCCCAACCTACACCCTACGCAACCCTACACGCAACCGTATGATGGTGATAGACACCCTACACAGCCCTACACGCAACCGTATGATGATAGATAACCCTAGACGCAACCGTATGATGACTACGCAATCCTACACGCAACTGTACGCAACCCTACATGCACCCGGATGATGATACGTAAGTATGTCATTTGATTCGTGACTTTTTCCGCTACTTGTTTTAAATGCGGCCAAGGGAGAGAACTCCCACTAAGCTGACCGAAGCCGTCCCGCATGCGTCCAAATGTGCTAGGAGAGCCCAATTTTCTGCCTATTTGGTTTAGGTAGAAGTAACATTCTGCAGATGTATTTAAGAGCTGACACTCAAAAAGATGAAATTGATAGAAGGAGAGTTTAATAAATATGAGGGGAAGTTAATAAGTAAGTCACAAGTGGTTATGGGATGGCAGGAAAATGTAGTTGGTGGTTTCTAAAGGTGTCATTGGGTGACAGCAACATCAAACTTTTTGTCTCTATTCGTTAGGTGGTGCTAGGTGTTGCATGCGCATTCACAACACAGAAACAAAATGGTGACTGTACTTACAGAGTGTACCCTCAAAGAACAACGGGCAGTTGTGATTTTGTGTGTGTGTGTGGGAAGGGGGGGGCAAAGGGGATGCATTTAAAGGACATTCATGAGGAAATGCTTCCTGTTTAAACTGACAAATGTTTATTCTGTAAAGCGGTGCACAGCTGGGTAAAAAAAAAAAGTTCCAAGGGCCCCTCTAATATTGTTGATGAAGTCCAATCTGGTCATCCTGTTGAGATTGCAACAGATGCATCCATGCAGCTGGTAGAAGAGATGATTAGAGGTGACAGGAGAGTAACAGTTGACTCTGTTGCAGCTGCAATAGGGTGCTCACATGGTTCAGCATACAACAAAATACATGATCTATTGAAATTAATTTAAGAAAGTCTGCTCAAGGTAGGTACCCAGACAATTGATAGACGAACACAAAATGAACCACCAATTAGGCCTGTCCTTGCAGCATCTCTGTCGATATGCAGATGAAGGAGAAGACATGTTGAACAGGATTATTACTGGGGACAAAGCATGGATGCATCACTACCAGCCCGAATCCAGAGCATGCTTCAGTGCAATGGAAACATCCTTCATCACCTTGTGTTAAAAAATCCCATGTTTAAAAATCAGCAGGGAAGTTTATGCTGACAGTGTTCTTGGATTGTCAAGGAGTGCTTTTTAACCAATTTTTTAAAAAAGAGGTGACAATATAATTTCTGATTCATACTGTAAAGTTCTATTAAAGCTTTATGATGCAATTCGAAAAAATATCCAGGCCTGATTGCTGACTAGAAGAGTACTGCTCCTTCATGACAATGCCATATCACATATGGCTCTGTTAACTCAGGAGAAAATTAACCATCTAGGGTGGGAACTTCTGGAACATCCACCTGACAGTCCTAACTTAGCCCCTTTTCCATCTTTATAGTCCACTGAAAGCCCACCTTGGTGGGAGACATTTCGTGAATGACGCAGAAGTTGAATGTAAAGTGAAAATGTGGTTGAGAAAACAGAGCACTCTGTTCTATGCAGCAGGTTGGGGAGGACTGATAAAACGATGAAATCAGTGTATGAATGATGGTGGAAGTTATGTTGAGAAATAAAGGGACACTGTATGCGTAAAAATAAATAGTTATCAAGTTGTTATCTCTAGTTTTTTTTTTTTTAAACAAACATTTGTGACTTTCTTATTGACTTCCCCTTGTTCAAAGTAGAAGAGGCAGATGCAGACAAAGGGAGACGATGCTTGATGACCTGGAATTGATTCAAAATACCAAGAACCAAGATCTGTGGAGAAATATGAACATCTAAGCCACTGAGTAGGGCAAATGGTGATGATGACACAAACTGCCCCAGCACAGACAGAAGGCATTCAACATGAAACATACAGTTCGCAGTGTTCTACCAAGCACTCAAGTCAGTAGCTTAGGCCACAAAACCATGGACAGTCCATATGTAGCCAGAGACAACAACAACAACTCTTGAAGGCTTCAACGAACTGCCTTACCTATACACCATATTGGGCTGGAAATCAACACTCAGGATATTGAAGACAACTGAGCAGGGAAATTGGCAAAGTACTGAGAGGATTTCTTATCTGCAATGATGAGAGTGATACTCTACAAAGGACCTGATGCATTACGATCATTATGGTTTGTAATTATATGCATCCATCATTGTCTCTTCATCCACATGGACAGCGGTTTTTCTCTTTTAGTACGTAAATCTTCTGTACTAATACTCCACTAATATAGTACATAATATCCATCCTCCCATTCACTCATCCCGCTGGTATCTTATTTGAACACATTTTATTTTATTTTAGGTTTTCATGCACCAACATTATCTTGGCCTGTATCTGGAACTCTGATGGTGGAACCAACTGAATCAGAGGACAAACTGGAGTTGGATAATTTCTGTGATGCTCTGATCAGTAAGTTTCAAGAGTTAAGAACTGAGGTCATAGCACTTAGGACATTCCCATAAGAGATCCATCCCTATCTTCAGCAACAAGCCCAAAGTTCCAATTTCAATCGTACCAGTAGCCGTCTTATTGTGTGTCCATATCACATTTTGGTGGAGTGTTGGGCGTCAGCCAGATCCCCAGGTCACTCCTCACTGCACCATTTTCTTCAGACTGTGATGCTTTTTGTGTGTACCTCTGCACTGTTTACTCACTCCCACAAGGTCGTTACAACATCTAGCTTGTAATGCAACAGTTTACCACCAAGTGGTGCAGCACCAGCTAATCTATTTGCCTGTTAATTTCCCAACACTCGAGTAGGACCTGGAGGAATTATCCAAAGTAGGTTCAGTAGCTTTTAAAACAGCAGAACAACATTTATATTTAAGAGTATAGAATTAGTTAAATGTTACTGACAGTGTGACACCATCGTTACTGTTAAAATAATATGTTAATGTTAAAGTCGAGAGGATCAGATTCATTGCACTGGGTTATCCCATGCAGCTCAGTCTCTCTGCAGAATGGCTTGCCGCCTAACAAGAGCAGTCGACAAATCACAGGCTATGTACCTCTGGCAGAGATCCACAAAGATCTCTGTAAAACTGTACTGTGAATCCATGAAAAAACCCAGGACCATCTAAGCTTGAGGGAAACTGCTAGACAGCTTCGCCACAGAGACCCCCCTAGAAATAAGTTGTGATAGCCTTTAAGTTTTTGTGTATGCAAAATATTGTTTTTAATAGAACACTTGTTTAATATTGAGTTGACAACTGCTTATGGTTAAATGACATTTTTTTGAACTAATATAGCAACTGAGCACATGAATGTTGTAAATCATTGAAAGATAAAATTAAAGTAATAAATAAGAATGCTTAAACAACAATTAGTAATAAAATAGGTAAAAAGTAGAGAAGGTAAGCGTGCATTTTAAGAAATGCACTTTATCAGTACTGAGTCACTGTTGGTGACAGGACATATGCAAGGAGTATCATGAGTCCCTAACCTCTCTGACCGCAGAAGACTGCCATTTTAGCTTTGTCATCCCTTACAAATCTAAGTAAAGCTCATTTGTCCACAGCAAGCATAGTTAATGGCCTTGGTTCCGTTTTCACCTGCACATGGTTTAGGAAGTTTGTTATGATTGTTTTTACTAAAATTTAAAAAAAAAGCATTTGTAGGTTGTCAGGGTCATGGGTTCATTTCACGGCAGCGCCGTTCAGTTTACAGGTGCAATTTTTTTTTTAATGGAGATCTCTGGGGATAATCGCCGAAGCTGCGGAGGTTTTACTCTGTGAAGCGCTTTCGGCAGGTAGCTAGCTTTTCTGCGGAGAGAGACTGAGTGATATAAGATAAAACCAGTGCACTGAAGTGGATCCTCTCACTTTACATTTGTCTTTACACATTTCTTTTTTTTTTAATGAATAATATATATATATATAAATACATATTTTTGAAATATTAGTGACCTGTATAAAATGGGTGTTTTAAAAGATTTGGAGGGGGAGGGGGAATTCCCTGGTTCATTACCTTTTTTTCCCCAAAGGTTTGTGGGGCTAAAGAGTTAATTTGTTATTACTACACTATAATGTCATTTATTATTATTTTACTAGTACTTCTTTTATAGAAAGTTTACTCATTGAGGATTTTTTTTAAACTCATTGTTTTTTTTTTTTTTTTTTTTCATTTCTTCTATTATGATGCCTTATCTGAATTCCTTGTACCTCATCCATTTGTTAAATTATTCACTGCCTTAGTTATTATATTAATGTCTTCTGTCATACTGTTACTGTTTTCAACTCCCTCAGACGAAAGCATTTTTAATTACAGTACAAAATTCTTCGGTTAAAATGGGTTAAATGATTTTTCTCCATGCTGTGTTAAAGTAAAAATTTCTTTAGATAAAACGAGTGAAATGACTTTTCTCCATGCTGTGTTAAAGTAAAAATTTCTTTACATAAAATGAGTGAAATGACTTTTCTCCATGCTGTGTTAAAGTAACAACTTGCTGAGACTTAAAGAGTTAACAGCATACTTTTAGTCATTATGATTAAATTTTCATTGTGTTCATTAAAGGGTTTCCTGTAATTTCTGGGCAAGCGTATACAATATCCTCATAAGAAACAAATTTTCACAGAGAATCATTATGTCAGTTTTGTATGCCATCCGGGGGTAGGGACCATGTATCTAGTGAAGTGCTTAATATGCTTCACCCTTATATGGAAAAGTTTCCGAGTCCACTCTCAGACGACTAACTGGGTTCCCTACCAGAGAGGTAGGGAGTAGTTTATACAGTCACATCAAACAACTAACACCGATAACCCTCAACAATCAACCACATCAACAATATGGGAAGAGTCATCTCTATAATGGTGCATCAGTCTATTGGGACAAAAAACAGTATGACGATGAAGATAAATTGGTGATTACTGAACTATTGTCCATTTAATACCCCCAGATGCTCATTGATCCCTACAATCCCCCTCCTGGGGTCACTGGTAGCCTTTTACAAACACCACAGCTATGTACCCACCTTTGGGTCACCTATTACTGCCTATAAAATAAATGCCTCACTTATGTGCCCACTCTTGAGTTCACCCATAACTGGCCGTAACTGACTAGAGACATTGCACATGCGATACGCCTCCACAACACACAGTCACGAGTCAGTCTCCAATGCGATTTGCAACACATCCTCGCAGTTGGATCATAAAGAGATGTTGGGCCCTCAAGGCCTTGTCTCCATTAATTATACTCAAATTCGACAGAACAATCTAAGCTTTCACCAGAATAAAATAATACATATGATTACTCTAAAAGGTCAGAAACATCAATACATACGTCTGCACTAACTCAACGACTGAGAGGCACTGACTGGATATGGGCTAACTTTCAGCTCAGCATCTAGTCATAAATGGGTCTTGCAAAATCCGTGAATCTGCTGTGTCTCGCTAAACTCAAGAAACACTTGTCTCACATTTTAGAACTGTGTGGACCTTTTGCATTTGCCTGTACCATCATCATCATCATTTAGTGCCTTTACGACTGGGTAGGCTATCAGGCCTCTGACACCTGGTACAATTGAACAGCAAAGGGAGTTTAGCACACAACAGTCAGGAATACTTAAATCAGTTTGACAGTGACTGCGAACCAGGAAAGCCACTACTGATGATTTGTGGGTTTCAGTTTAAACCATTTTGCTCCAAGACTTATAGCAGACTTATGGATCATGAAACCATATGAATTCTAAAAAACAATTCTTCAAAAAAAAAAACACATTTTACACAGGTCACTAACAAATTGGGTATCTACATTTTAAAAATGTATTTAAAAAAATAAAAAATATATAAAGGTATATAGAGGGAGTAATCAATAAACACAAACAGTGAAGCATTACATGTACATTTTCCAAGGCCCTAAAAACATGTGTCGGATGACTCATACTGCGACCCAATGATTTTAACATTGATGCTACAAAAACATTTTGACGTCAACAAGGCCATTAAGTTCACACACAAAATCCCATAAATGCTAACTTTACTAAATATGTGGGCCTACTAAACACTGCACGGGCATGAACAGAACAAATAACATTCAGCTATGATTCTGAGAAACAGGTCAGACCGGCTAGTTCTAAAGTCTTTACAGGAGTATGGCAGTAACGGAAAAGGTGAGGTTATAGCATCCTGGAGTGACAAGGTTAAGCATGTTTTCAGTTGAAAGAGGCATTTGAGGGGACAAGCCCTGTGTAATTACAACCACTGTGTATACAAGTCCAGTGTAATTACAACCACTGTGTATTACTGGAGCAATCAGCATCCACACCTTATGAAATTTGCTGAATTGAACATCTAGTAGTTTACCTAGTCAATTATATTAGTTCTTAAAACAAAGAAATGAAGATGACCTAGTGAAAGTCACAAATTATTTGCAAGCAGCTGAGACGTCGTTTTATGAATAAATAATGGAAATACCCTGGACAGATAAAAAGAGTAATGAAGATGTCTTGAAAGAAACTGCTCACGAAGAGAACTGATTGCCCACATCAGAAGGAGACAATTTACATTCTTTGGTCATGTGATGAGAAGGAGAAAACTGGAGTACTTCATGACAGTTGGAAAGCTGGAGGGGAAAAGAGGCAGATGGACAATGCTGAACAGTTAGACATCATGGCATGAAAGATAATTTTTGTCTGAAATAATTGAAAGTACTTGAGACAGAAGGTTGTGGATAGACATGACTACCAAAGCCACACAACATGGACTATAAGAAGAAGTGAGAGACTATGAAGGGTATGTTAATTGATAACAAAGACAGAGATATATATTTCTTGTTGCTAGGAAATATTAACTTGTACAGCTTGTTTCAAAATAATTGTCTACATCTTTTTGTGTATTTTTCCTCAGTGATTCGTGATGAGATCCGCGCAATTGAACTAGGACACTGGGATAGAGATCTGAATCCAGTCAAGGTAGTTTTAGCTTCTGAAGCACATTCTTGTAATACTGTAAATGTAAACATGTTGTGAACAATGCTGAACTCTTTTATTTTGGCTCACCACTGTCTAAACTCAGAATAAAATCACCTGCAAAGGACAGAGGGGGTATTGAAACTAAGGAATTTAGGCCAAATGGCAGTCACTGGGAACTGTGCAGGTTACGATGCATTTTGTTGCCCCAGATAGGGAGAAACTTCTATCACTTTATCAGGGATTCAAATAACAATAAAAGGGCTCCTCCATGAGAATTCTGTGTTCTAACCACTTAGCCCGCTGTAAATCATGAATGTGTGTACATATCTTTTTTATGTGTGTGATAACTGAGCAAAAGCTGAATGGGAGAGTCAGGACTAAGTCTTCTGCTGATGTGCCGTCTTGGTGTAACTACATGGAAGTCATCAATGGAACAATGCCAGTGCAGTGCACAGTGAACTGGATCACTTTGCTCCTTGTGTGTGGATTTCAATCCTGTTCCTAGTGTGTGGGGATTTTTGTCGTGGTATGGGGACGTCGCAGGTCGACCCAGCCTAAAATGGGTACCAGGATGGGCTGTCCTGGGAAAGTAAAGACAGCCGGCGTAATGCTGACCACATTACCCACAGAGTGCTGATGGTCTGTAAAAATATGGGACGCTCTGCCCATATGCCCGATGCGCCGAAAGGCGTGAAAAGGGAACTTTACTTTTACTTTTACCTAGTGTGTGGATTTGAGTGCCCATCTCAACCCTTCAGAAGCCTCCTTGGTTCTCCTTAGGCATGCGTAAGGTCAGTGCAGAGTTGCCAGTAGATGGAAATTGGTGGCAAAGTTTTAAAATTCCATGAGCATGATCTGGTGTGTTGAGGCTGACTTCGTATACAGCGTGACACATTTTCTTAGTTCACTCAGAATACTAATTACTGTGACCTCTCTGTGCACACAGTTTCCTTCCAATTTTATGTGCACTTTATGTTTAGAAAAGTGTTCTACTTTAAAAGTTAACTCTTTTGTTGACAAACAGGAACACACTATACATTCATTAGTTTCTCTGTATGTATTGTATATTTCTTCTCTTTTTCTTTTGTCCTGCTGTTTATGCCATGAAGCATTGCAGAGAGGAGGAGTTAATGTAGTTTCCTGTCTTTTGCTAGCTGTGTAGCTTGGGTTAATGCCATACTGTTTTTCTGTAGTGTCTCTTTTACTCGATCCACCCATCTCTTTCTTGGTCTGTCTTTCCTGCTGTTCTCATGTTTTAGCTGTTGGCTTTAGCTTTTGCTGTTGGCTGATTTTTTTCCATTCTGACCACATGACCAAACCATTTGATTCTCTAATGGTCTGGGAAATTAATTACTAGTGCTGTGACACCAAATTTGTTTCTTAATGTCATTTTTTTTTTCAGTTGTTACTTTAACTCATTATGACATATAGTGGTAATAATTCCACCCCTTCAGACTAAGAGTGGTACTGTAAAGTACACACACTTTAGGATACAACAGTATTGGTGTAACAACTGTCTTGGACTGAATGGGACTGAAAGGGTTAAAGAGCAACACAGTTACATCTCTATGTTGACTTCAGAAGTATAAGTTTTGTCAGCAATATTTTAAATTATACAGTTAGGAGCAGAAAAGAAACATAAAAACTGTTTTACTGATTTACATGAGTGTTATTTTAATTTGATTGTGTTCCATAAATATGAAGTAGAATAACTTTATTTTTACCACCAGATGTCACCACATTCACAAGCTGATGTCATTGTTGGAAAGTGGGACAGACCTTACTCGCCAGAAACTGCAGTATTTCCAGCTGTAAGTGTTTATAAAGCATTATTATTTATTTTACACTGGTAAATGATAATTGCGTAATGAATGAGAAATCCAGTGATATTCTGTGGAATTCCCAAGGGGACAGGTTAAGAGTTCAGAGGCCAGCTAGGAAACTAGAAGGTGAGATTGTTCACGAGAAAATATGTGTGAACCAGTATTGTGGGATTCATGGAGGAAGTAATTTGTACTGGAAAAATCTCATAAGAGTTGGGGAGTGGGGGGGGGGGGGGGTAGACTAAACAAGCTGATGTGAGAGAAAATTAGATTTATTCTGTTTGAGGCAGCCAGAGAGAGAAGACATGTCTGATGTGTGCAAGGAATTGACGTAGTGCTTGCATAAACTTTATTTGTCAATCCTGTTAGCTAGGACCTGGCAAGGACAACAGCAGATGAGAAAGGAGAATGGCAGCTTATTGCATAAACAAAAGATTAATGCTGAGGTTAAGCAACTGATGGCTATTGGCAGTGAATGTTGTGCACAAGTTGAAATAAGGTCAATTGATGTGTCTACCACTCACTGAATGTTGGCATTTGTGGCTTGGGCGTTGCAAATGCAGTTTGTAATGCCGGGGTGCCAAGTTCAATCCAAGCTGCGAATGGTTAGTCTTGCGTTGCTTTTGACAGTAGTACCGAGAGCTGACTATTCAAAAAGTAATGGCAAACTGCTGACCTTAAAATTTGCCTAAAAAACCACAATAGCTAAAAAAAATGCATGGGTTGGTTGCACAAAGTCCTGTAAAGGATACTCAGCTAACTAATTAACCTTACAGACTTTGTACCGCTATAAAACTATCGCTGGCTATGAATCAATTCCTAGACAAGTTAACGACATTATACAGAGCCAAACACTAACTGGTGGAATGGCAATAAACATTGAATTCACGAAACTGTGCTTCCATCTTGTATGTTGTCGTTACTAATTCCACCAGCTGGGGCAGCTAAGGCACCAGCCACTTCAGGGCTCCAGCCTGGATTGAAGGAGACTCACTACAATGATAGCATTGCATGTACAGTTTAGGGCTATGAAAAAGCTTATTAAACACATATTCCTACTGTCATTGCTTTATCCGGAGAAGTTATAAGCTTGTTCCTCACTGGTTCTCCAGTACAAATCATGTGTAGTCACTTTATTTGATGGAATAAACCCCACACTGTTTCTTGGAATTCTTCTTCTTTGCTCGCCTTTAAAAGGAAAGGAGGTAGGGGGTTGGGACATTGTGATCTACAGGTATGTTATAAATGCTCCATCCCCATCTTTAGCAGCCGGTGCAGAGATCCAGTATTAATTTTGCTGGCTGCAGTCTAATTGTATGCTCTTCTTACCTTTCTCTAAACACTGAGTGCCTGTTATATGTTTTAAACCTTTGCCGCATTTTTAGGAATGCAAAAGAACTAGAATATCCATTCATTCCTTCATTACCCTCTTGTGCCATTGTCACATAGGGCTCGCAGTCTTTTTCTCCATTCTGTTCTGTCTTTATGGATTTAATCCAGACCAACACTATTGGCCTCTCATTTATGTTCAGCTTAGGGTTTCTCTTGGATATCATTTCCACAATCCATCCATTTCACGTTTCAGCGCCTGTTTGGTGATTCTCTGTTCATCTATTCTCAGAATGTGTCAAATAAAGAACCATCTTCTGTGTCTTTTAATTATATTTGTGGTTGCCCAGACATTTCTCTTATTACTGACATTTCTCTTATTACTTTACTCCTCCTGAGTTCATTCCATTTTATGTTCATCATTTTCTTTATGCATTTGTTTTCGAATGCATTTAACTTTCATGCCCTTTCTTTAGTAGTTTTTCAGCTTTTACTGGCATATGTTAAAACTGCTAGATATTATTATTAGGATTATATTTTATATTATAATAATATAATAACTGACTATTAAAATATTGGAGTGTGCTTTTTTTAATAAAAAAGGAAAAATAATTTCAGGCATTTGTGCAACCTGGCACCAAATTTTGGCCGACAGTTTCACGGATTGATGACAGCTATGGGGACCAGAATTTAATGTGCACCTGCCCACCTGTCACTGACTACATATCAACAGATAAAGAAAAATGTGATGCTGCAGTTATATAGATAGCTACAATTATTTGTTCCTTTTGGTAACAACTTTCAGTAATCTGTTCATTAATGTACAAGAAGTAAGCAAACACAACACAGTGACTAGGAAACTCATTAGAGGGTGAGGAAAAGACATACACAAATCCGGTCAAACATTTCATAGTCATGATTTGTATTGTTTTGTTACTTGTTGATATCAGCTCAATAGCCGCCACTCTAAATCTTTTTTTTTAAATACCATTTTTGGAATGTGAATGTTGACTAAACGTTTTACTTTGTTTTGTTTTGTAGGTGTATGCATTGCTTACAAAATTGATATGGCACAATTAAAATTGTCCTTTAATTTTAAAATTTACTAAAATTGTTGTTTTTCATGTTCAAGTATGTAAATCTGTGCATTTCACATCATCATTCTCCAGTGCCTTGCTTACTTGCACTGGTGTCAATGGTTCTCCACATCTTGCAGTCTCCAATAGCATGTATCAGACTGTATGCTGACACCTTTACATATCTTGAAAGAAGGCTTTATTTTGGCCTTTAAATCTGATGTTTGTGACAAGTTATCTTTTTGTCTAAGACTCTTTCTTATTTTTCCTCTTCTTCTTCTCCTCCTCCCCTCCTCCTCCACCCCTCTTCCTCCTTCTCCTCCTCCTCCTGTAATCTTGACCTGCTTTCAGTGTCAGGTTTTGAAGAGTATCAGGGACAAGCCTTGATTTTTGCTACGCAGTTGCTGTCTCATATCCAGTTTGGTCTGGCTGCATTCTTACTAGATGACCGAACTATTTGATTGTCTGTCTGTCAATATCATTTCAATTTTCTGTCTAATTCTGGTATTGCCAACCATGTCCTTTCTTGTGTTGTTAGTGACCTTTCAGAGACATCGCGTTTCATGTTATATTCTGTTCTAGTGCTTTATTCATTGTAAGCTCAAGTCTAATTATGTAATTTTGTTTCAAAAAAAAAAAAAAAAAATGGCTTGTGAGCTCATAAATTTTCCTGCTGATCAAGAAGAAAACCAGTATTATTTTTATGATGCAATTATTGTGTTATTAATGAAAATCCTTTCAACATGTTATGTTATTATACTGTTAACAATATGATATTTCTTCTTGCTATAGCAGGCACAGAATCCATTGATAATAAAATGTTGTTTGTTGCATTCGTTTTGTTAAATATGTTGCTGAAACTATGCAAGGATAATTTCCTTTACTTTGCTGACACAAATAAAGATAATTAACGTATTTTTTTGTTACAGGTTTTCATAATTTTTAACTTGTTGACTCTTGATATTTGAAGAAAAAACATCCAGGTAATGGATCCTTTTTCGCGCCTTCTGGGCATGTTTTGCTAGACTTTATTATATTTGTATAAACAAATCAGCACTCAGGGAGAAATGTGGTCAGTGTGATGCCGGCCACCTTTACTTCCCATGACTCTACCCGGCACCCATTAAAGGTTATTATATGTTATGCCAAATGCCTTCCGCAAAGTAATCCTCAATAGAATTAAAGTGGCAGTTGATACAATCATGAGAGAACAAGAAACTGGTTTTCAAACTAGAAGAAGTTGTCTGGATCAAATAATTACCCTGAGACTGATTCTAAAAGAACACATTGAAAAGCAGTAATTGTAACATACTCTGAAAGCATGCTGAGAAAGGTGAAGACAGGGATGCTTCGAGCAGAGTGGCAAGCTTCACTGGAAAGGTCACAGGTAGTGAGTATACTTCGGATCTTTTCTCCAGGCAATGTCGGTGTAGTGGGTAATAAACAGGCAGACAGATTAGCTGGATCTGCACCACTGGGTGGTGAAATGATACATGATAAGGCAGATGTGATGTGGTCAAGGCCCTTTAGGAACAAACAAGGAAATCAGTAGAGAAAGAAGATTATTATGGCCTGGAGAGAATGAGGCACCTGGGTATAACCAGAGGGTCTGGTGGGCTTACTAAACTCAGAGGAAAGGTAAGACGGACATATAACCAGGTTGTGACCGGTACCATCAGTACTGGAACTCTGAGCTGGCTGCTGAAGATAAGGACGGAGCACACATGGGAATGTCCCAAATGCTGCGATGTCAATTCTTGACTCAACACTGAGAAGCAACAACCTCTCATCCTGAATTTTATTGATTTCAAGAAGGCGTTTGACAGCATACACAGAATTTCACTATGGGGAATTTCGGAATGCTATGGCATACCAGCTAAAATAATATCCTGTTAAAAATATATATGATGGTTCAGAATATGCAGTGTGCACTGAACATGGTCTAAGTGACTGGTTTTTGGTGGAAACTGGGGGTGAAACCATGCTGCATTCTATCTCCCTTGTTGTTTGGAGCAGCCATTGATTGGGTAATGACAAAATGTTGCACACGCAATAGTGGCATTGACTGGGTAGAGAATAGACAACTGGAAGATCTGGATTTCACAGATGATATTGTTCTGTTCAGTAAACATAACAAAAACATGCAAGGAAAACACAATTTGTCAATGTAAGTGTCAACAATTGGACTACAAATAAGTTATGAGACAACTAACATATTAAAGATACCAAGAGATCATGTAGATGTTGTGCTACAAAATGAACCAATAAATATAACGGACCATTTCATCTATTTGGGTAATAAGTTTAACTTTCAAGAAGATGCAGTGAAGTAAATTATGATACACATTGGTAAAGCAACAACAGTCTTTAAAAGCCTTAACAAAATATGGATCTCAAAGTTGTACACCCTTATTACCAAACTACCAATCTTCAATTCTGATGATATTTCAATTCTAACATATGCCAGTGAAAGTTAGAGAACCACCAAAGATCTAGGATGAAAGTTGAATGCATTTGAAAATAAATGAGCAACACTATGAACAAAAAATGGGATGAATACAAAAAAGAGTTGGAAGATAAGAAAAATGTCTGGCCAAATACTTGTATCGACTGCAAAAAGACAAAAAAAAAAGGTGATGTACGATGAGACAAAATGAGCAAAGAATTACAAGAAAAGGCACTGATATGGGAAACAAATAGTCTGCGAAAATGAGGACTTCCAAGGGAAACAAAGAAGAATGCTGTTACAAGAGGCAAACAGTGCTGGGCTGAACTCCATGTCAAAAACCGAGAAAGCTGCATACAATAGAGCGGAGTAAAGGAATTAAAGCAAGCCCTATGTGTAGTTTATTGAAAAAAAATTAATAAAATAAAAGTAAAGGAGTCTTCCACACCTTGCGGTGTATTGGGCATATGGGAATATACCTATATTTTATAGACCAATCGGCACTTGATGGTTGATGTGGTCAACATCACACAAGCCGCCTTTACTTCACAGGACTGGTCCTGATACCCATTTAAGGCTGGGTCGACCTGGGAGCCAAGATCATTTGTGAAAATATGTCCCTGCTCCACCAGGACCCGAACCCACTACCTTCTGATCCACAGGCAAACGCCAGAATATAATAACATGATACATTTTAAAAGATCATTTCAGTTAGATAAATGTCTGAAATAAATATGAATCTTCATGTCAAGTGTATGTGTGTGGACATTCTTCATAATTCTGGAATATTGGTTTGATTCCTGCCGTGGTTAATTTTCATTCGGAAGCAGACGGATTTGCACTGATTTTGACAGAAGTATGGAGTACTGACCATTCAGATGTAATGGCAAACTATTGACCTTCTCTCCCTCTTTTCTCTCTCCTCTTCTCTCGTACTTATATTATGGGAGATACACATCAACCCTCGTGGGTGAAATGAATATAATCTAGTATTCTTATAGCTTGCACTTGAGTGTATCTTTAGTTAACTTCTTTTCTTTGGGATTCTATTGGGGGGGGGGGGGGGGGGGGGTGGTGTCATTCTGTCTACCTTTTAGCATTTGTTACAAATGGGAAATGGGGTGTTGAACTTTTATGTTATATACGTTTGTTCTGTCTATGTGGTTGTTCATCCCTAATTGGTTTTCCCATCCTATACTCCAATTAGTGCAACAAAGCCTAGCACATGCTACTACTACGTCCAGTTTGAGAATATCAACGGAGGCAGACACTGCAGCCTTCTGTTGGCTGAAAAGCAGATGCACACATATGTCATGATTGTGATCAGCTTAGTAAAAGCAACATACAGAGGCATGTAATGCCGAGTTCTTCATGGTGAAAAGCTGACAGATACATTTTAAATAAAAACAGGTGTTAGTTAGTTAGGTTGGTAGGTAGTTAGTTGGGTTATCATCATTGCACTCCGGATATGTCCATAGGTGCCCAGATCCTCCCCTCAGTATGAACCCCAATTTTCGATGGCTAATAGTACCAGTTCTTTGTTGATTAACAAGTATTCTGGTGTGGTGTGTCTGGTGTGCGTCTCGTTTTTTGCTATGCCGACAGTGATGTGTTTTGTCACCTTTCCTATTTTTACTGGCAATAGATTGGATTATGAAGACATTAACTGCTAACACCAAGAATGGAAGTCAATGGACCTCTACAAAACAGCTTGATGATCTGGGCCTCGCTGATGATATTTCTTTTCTGTCCCATTCACAGAATCCGGTGCAAGATAAATTAAATTTACTTGATGCGAGATCACAACAGCTAGGTCTGAAAATCAAAAAGGGAAAGACACGGATAAAAATAAATCAGGTGAAAATTAATGTGGTTTCTCATAATTGTATCCTAGATGTGGAGTCGTACATGGATTTGCAAGTAATGTAGATACAAATGGGGGAATTGATATAGTTATTAAAATACGAATACAAAAGGTGAGAGGAGATTTTATAGCACTGGGGAATTTGTGCAGGTCGAAAGAATTTAAAACTATTACTAAACTAAAAATCTTTGACTCTAATGTCGTCAGTACTGTTGTATGGAGCGGAAACATAGAGAACAACTAAGGCAATTAAAAATAAAGTACAAAAATTCTGCGAAGAATAGAGGAAATTAAATGGTATGATAGAATCACTAATGTGAAGCTTTGAGACAAAACTAAACAAGTTCCAGTGGACCAAGAGGTGAAGAAAAAACGCTGG